GTATCCTGTGAACCTATGATCAGTAAATGCTTAGCATATGCCGGGCATATACGCACCACATGTTCGCCTTGTGCTCGTTGTCTTCCCAACCCAAACACACTTATTACTCCACCCTCTAAGTCGCCCAGTATCACAAAGCTGGCGTAAATAGTTAACATTGAATTGACTTTGATACTGTGGAATTCCCCATGCTGTATGCCAAGGCTCTGAGTTACTAGACCGTGGGCAGCCAATAAATGTAACCTACATAGTGTTAATATAAACTAAGTTCTAGAAGGGCATATGTTAGGCATAAACTTACATCATTCCTAGTAAAGGTGGTAAATCTTTGGTTTCTACAAGTAGATACTGGCTGTTTCCCATCTCTAGCTGGCTGTTGACAAGGTCCATCAAGCTTCCAGAGCTTTTGAATAGACTCAAAGTAACTAGAATATATTATTAGCACCTCATAATTGAGACATATGCATAGCATATGCGCAACACATGCCTCGCATAGGCTTCACTTACGCTTCCGTCTGACTCTTAATATCCTCTGTAAGTGTAGGTACAATTGCCATTCTTTTTGCTTTTTCTCGAAGGATTTGATGTGCCTTAATAGCATTACCAGAATCAAAAAGCCTATGTGGCTTTAAAACAGATTTGCGAGTAAAGCTACAGTGTTTGATCCCACTGCATTTCAGGGATTGGTGCCAAACTTGATTTTTGCCTGGACTACTCTCAATATATGGTTAGCATATGCCAAGTATATGCAGAGACAATACTGAGAGTATGTTACCCAAGAACTGGACATCCCTGCTGGCTTATTTTCTCCTTATGTTGAGTTGAGTATTGGATAGTGTCTGTAAGTATGCTTATAAGTTGCTGGGCATCTGATTTTGAAATATTGCTATTGTTTTCGTAGCATGAGATAAAATGTAAAACCCCTGTTTTTGAAGTCTTAGGAAAAAGAGGAGGAGTAAGGTGATCTTGGACATCTCTTGCAGATGTTGCGTATCTTCCTCTGTTGTTGAGAAGGACTCCAAATTGCTGGATAGATTCCTGATAAATTCTCAGCATATGCTCAGTATATGCCCATCCCACATCCGGTATATGTTAAGGATACATATAAAACTTACTTCAGACTGACCCATCTGGCATAGTAACGTCTTTGGGTCATAGTGATTGCTTGCTTGGTTATAGCTATTAAGCCAAAACTGATCCTAAAAAATGTTTAGTAAAATAAATAATATTGATAAAATAAAAACTTACATCATTAACCCATCTTCCTAACAGATAATGAGATCCAGCAATTGCATCTTTATCATTATCTTGAGTATTATCTTCATTAATACTCTGATATCCTGCATCTTCTCTCTAGTCTTCATTTTCATCCTCAGATCCACTAAAAGATAATATAGATAAAGGTGGTGAAGTAAAATCAGAGTCGCTACTAGTGTCGTCTGGCACATTGTCCATTGCTGTTGGATCTTAGCGAAGTATGTGGTGAGTATGGTCTAAGCCAGGCCTCAGCATATGCAGAGACTGTACTCAACTTATACTCCCTCAGCACCTATATTTTATTGCTTGCTTATCCTCGTTTCCTCGCTCTCACCGCCTGTGAATGCAAAAGATGATGCTAACTGACCTTCACCGCTACTTTCTGCAGGTTATGCTCTGCGTCTTCCTCGTATATGTAGAGCATATGCGGAACACATGTATCGACAATGCAGGATTCTAGCTTGTCTCTCAACCAATCATAGTCTTACACTGTCCTACGCTTATTTATCCTCTTCATAACTGCTGTATAAACTTTTAGACCCCCCTCCGAGTTTTGATCCACTTTTCGGAAGCCCCCCTTGGTACTGCGAATACCCCCCTCCGAACTGTACCCCCGTCAAGCAAGACTGCTTCGCCTCCAAGCATTCCAACGGCGACTACACAACAGAGTTGACGTGGTTCCAGGTCATTGATACTTTATCAACAGAATCCACACCACCTGTAGTGAGTGAGTGGCGATCAAGGCCTTGATAAACGGCCAACACCAGAAGAGGGACCTCGGACCAACGAATGGCAGCGCCACATCAATGGTCGTGACCCGGCGGGGCCAACGGACTGTTACAAGAGGGATGATCTTCGGGGTGAGCGAGAAAGGTAGCTGAAGGCGGGCGTCACATCGGCGGCCCAGAACCAATGAGCACTGTTGGCATGAAGAGTGTTGAAGTGCATTGGTGGGACGCTGGAAGTTGTTAGTGTCAGGACTGACATGACAGACAACGCGGAGGCCCGCAAGATGGGAGACCCGGGCCGCGGGGGCGAGAGGCCATAGACCTTCCGACCACCCGCGATGTTGGTCGGCCGTGTTGAGAAACCTGGCGTGCCGTTGTCGCGGGACTGCGGGCAGCTGTCAATGACGGTAAGAAGACGTCGACGAGTGTGTAAGACGAGCCAAGTGCTGTGAGGTCACTCGTCAGGAGCTGGCATGAGAGGGGCGAGGTACCGATACGAGCCCTCGTTGGGTAGCTTGCCTACCCCTGCGTTGGATGGGCCGCAGGTGTCTGAGTGAGGGCGGCTAATCAGCGACGGCGGGAGTCTAGATGAGCGACCGACTGATACTATTGAAATGAGGGGAGGGGGCTGCTTGGTGCCTGGCAGCATTGTAGAAGCAAGAGACGGCAGACAACGCAAACCCTCTGCCTTGGAAACCGTTGGGAACAAGAATAATCCGCGGGCGACGGTCAATACAAGGTTGAATGCCTTGAGGGCATGATGGGATAAACGCCGCGCCGGGATGATGTGCTGCAAGTGGACATTTGCTATCTGGTATACCTATAGTGTGTGATCGGTGAGCACTAGGCAGGTGTCACTCTGCGTCGCGATTGTCCATTTACACTGCCGACGGATGCCAGGGGGGCATCCATCCTTGACCGGCAAGCTGAGAAATCGACTGCCTACCTAGTTGAAGGGGGAAGGTGAACGGACTTTATCAACGCGTAAGGTAGGGCAGACTGGGGACGAGGCAGATTTGCATGTCTCTTTCTTTCAGGGCTTTAATTGATGTCGCGCTTCCATTGGGAGACGAGGGCAGCTTCCCTTGCCCGAAACGGGAACACGACGTGATTTCTTGGATTATTATTTGATGAATACCCTGGCGAGCCCACTTATTCCCGACGCGTCTCATTGGTGGTCTATGTCGCGGCAAAAAGAAGGAAGCTGCAGTAGCACCGCCTTCGCGCCGACGAATCAGGAGCGCCAGACAGTCAGCTGCATGAATGTCGCTTTCCTTTGGTCTCCGCTTTCCGACTGCTCTTGCCAGCTTTTTTTTCTTGCGTCTGTGCCCCATGTCAGTGCATTGCCAAACCTACGGTGTGTACGATGTATGTCCGGCCTGGAAGAGGGAAGGAACGCTGAAAGGAAGCTGAATTGGAGTGTGAGAGAGAGAGAGGGCGTGTCTCTCTCACCTGCATTGGCCCATTTTGTTCTCGACACGACGTCGTTCATTGGCGCTTCCACGGAACTCGCGCGTTTGACCACGTCTTTCTTGCAGTCGCAGTCTCTTCCGCCGTCTCTTCTGGCCGTTGTTCCCAATTTCGCACCTGCAGACAAGACACCTGCATACGCAGTCGTCGAGCCCGTCTCTCTCTTTGCATGTTCCTCGTCCGAGGTCTGAGCGTGTAGCTCCTATTCGATTCGATATCCTCCTCTCGCCTGGTAAAACCACTCGACGCCTTCATCACCTCGGTCAGTCTCGAGGGTCGGCGCACAAGCACCATCAAAGTTCCAACTGCTAGCAGATCATTGTGCATCGCCCCCTGTCATCCCGTCCTACCTGGCCCGGCATACCTCTTCTCACCCTCACCCCTCTCCCCCCCTTGGCCCTGTCCCTGGCCCCTGGCAGACACGTCTGGGTGGTGCATCTCCATAGTATCACCATCTCCACTCAGACCGCACCGTGTTTGCGTGTGTTCCGCGTCTCTTTTCGTCTCTTTTAGAGCAAAGGTACCCCCGTTCTCCCTTTGCTGCACCATCCTTCCCCTCGCACCATTCCCTTCGCGTTTGTACGTACCTCTTCTCCTCCCATTGACCAGGCGCCTACTCGCACTCAGACATCCGTCATCCTCGGAATACCAACTACTGTACTTGCTTCTCTACGCAGTACCTTGCCTAGCGTGCCTAGCTGATAGGTACGGTAGTGTACCACCAACCTTGGCTGCAAGGCCTTGCATCAAACGGCCAACACCGCCTGCTACCTAGGCACTCGTCCCATCCTATCCCGTCCGACAATAAACCGCCAACCTAAACCGAGACCATCCACCACCACTGGCCACCCCAGACCCGACCCGACCTTACACGCCCATCGCCATCACGTCCGTCTCGTCCCCTCCCAGGCCCCTCCCGGCTCCGTGCACACGCGCGCCATCTGCCCCCGTGTCTCTCTCTGCCTCCCCGTCGACAGTCGATCGCATCTCAGCGTCTTTACCTACCTTGGCTGACTTGACCTCGCGACTGACCCCTGCTCCCTACCAACTCTCACCTCTCTCACCCTCTTTTTCTCCCTCTATCCCCCCCTTCCCACTCCAACACCCCACGCAAGCTCTTCCCCGACTCCGTTTCTGTCGTTCTCTTCCTCTTGCAACCAACTCAGCTCCGCTTGATTCCTCTGCGTGGGCGAGAACAACAAACAAAAAACAAGTACGCTCTCTACTCCAACTTTGCCCACCACCGCTGCTCTCAGACGTTCAACACCGAGTCTGTCTGGCACCGACTTGCTTTCACTGGGGTGTGTCGACGGGACACTGTAACGACTCGAATCCCTTGTCTCCGACTTTCCCATTCTCCACGAATCGACTCGACCGTCGATCAAAGAGGAGTCTGGACCTTGAACTCGAACTCTCCGCCTGGCTGTGCTGCACCTATTCCCGACGACGCACTGCACCGCGCGACACCACGCAAATCCACACCGGTACCCACATCCACTTGGTTCATCGCTCGCGCTCGCGCGCACAACCGCAACGATCCACACGATGGCCACCATTTCACGTCAACCATTTGCGCCCCTCGACGGAGCGAGATTGCAGAACCTGACGAGCATTAAGAATAGACAGAACGGTATGTTTGATCACTCTACGACCAAACACGTCCATTCCCTCTACCCAGATCTCGAATGTTTCTCTCGTCCTGCAACCGCAAGTGTTGGTGCTGCATTTGGACCTCCCCGCGCGAACCGTCGCTGTGCGAGTTGAATGCGCCCGAATCCTCAGCACAAGCACTACTTTCAAAGACCAGCCATCAATAACACCAGAATCTCCGCTGACATCCTTAACAGCCGTTTCGCCTGCTTCCGGTGGCAAGCGCAAAGCCTCCGACATTGTAGACACAGACGACTTCGAAAATGTCGACCCAAGCGTCTTCTCCAAGCGATCGAAAGGCTCCGATAGCTTTTACTCTTCCAAGGAGGCTCTTAAGCCCTCCTCGTTCGTCCTGACCAAAGCCGCACCCCTCGCCGAAAGCCCTGCCTTGGCTTCCACCCGGCCTGCTCTGCCTCGGCCTCGTAACCTGCTCCAACCCAAGTCGCCTGCGGCCAAGATCAACACGGTCATCGCCAAGTCATCCCCGCTCTCAGCTCCCGCTGGCCGTTCACCTACCCGTGGCAAGCGCTCCGGCATTCTCTCAAATCGTCGCCGAACCGCTGGTCCTTACACCCGTGTTGACCCGCCTTTGTTCAACCTGTCGTCCTCAGCTTCTGCCCCTTTCAGTCTCGATGCTGCTCTCAAGGGCACAATCCCGAGCTATGCCGCCCGTGCTTCTGTCGCCTCGTCTTCCCGGACTGCTGCCAAGGACCTGCTTGAGCCTGACCTGAAGGCGTCTTGGTTCTTTGATATCCATGAAGACACGCCCGAGCAGGAGATGACCAACATGTTGCAGCATGGCACCTGCGTCCTCGACATCAGCTCTGACGAGGAGAGTGGACGCAAGGCCAGCAGAGACCGCGCGGAAGGCCGCGACAAGGAGAATGTGCCGCCTGTCGATGATGTGAGCCAGACTTCGGCACGCCGCTCTGTTAGTCGTACCGACGAGGACGACATGATCGTCGAGAAGGAGAGGATAGCGCTAGGCGAGATGGATGCTAGCGAATTCTACGCCTTTGGCTGTGATGAGTCGTCCGTCATCATTATCCCAGCCGATGATGACGAGGGTGAAGAGGCCCCCATTGAGGCCGCGTTGCCCGTAACCAGCGATATAGCCCCGGAGCTCAAGGTAGACCCGCTCGAAGTGCCGCTCAAAGAAAGGGACGTTGAGGAGCTTATGGGCAAGTCGGCCGATCCAGCACCCAAAGCGGCGCTGCTGGAGCCAATAGAAGGGACAGGCGAAACCTTTGAGTTGTGGGAGAGTGGAAGCGCAAAAGACGAAACCGAACCCGTCGTTGCTGAGTGCTGATGAGTGGACTTTTTGCTTTTCTTGGCCCGCTTGGCGTGAACTTGCTTCTTCGCTTCCAACTATTCACCATCTTTTAATTACGGGTCTAATGATTCATGCGGCGTTGGCACGGTTATTCTGCTTCTTCGGATGGATGGACGGGCAAGGACGAAGCGACGGGAACCCTGGGACACATTTCGTATAGGAACAACGGATACAGGTGTTGGATTTTGTATAAAGCTGGAGTTGGAGTATTGCTGTTGCTTTTGGCATTGTTTCAACTGTTGATATCCTCATCAATAGAGTGTTGTTAACGCTTCGATCAATTCTGCGCGATATGCTATGGGATGTGCACTTCTTGTCTGACCTAACGATGTGGACCGAGACGACAAGTCCTTGTAGCTGACTGGACATATACATGAATGAAATGGCTCTTGTCTATATCCCTTGACCTGTTAAATGCGAGTTGCACGGGTGGCCCAACGGCGCCGTTTAGCGTTAGTATAACTCAGACCGGTGACTCCCACGTGACTGCCGCCCACGCGGCCCTGCCCGATGGAATTCCGGGCCCCACACGGCCCGTTGATGCCAGTGACCTTCACCACTTCAGGACCGCACCACTCGACGACAGGTGCACCTCACCAGCATCACACCTGCATTCGACCAATTCGCTGGTCAAGCCACACGCCGACCCCTTACGTTCGTCGTTAGGGAATTCAGTCTTCATCCCAGGCCAATGGCATCCATCAACGACCTCGCCACGGCGGCCATAGCCACCTCGGCCGCGACTAGCGGCGGACCGGCCGGAGATGACGTGCCATCCGTCACGACGCCGCCCGCCGGTGTCGTCCGTGGCGCTTTCGTTGTGTTTGAGGGCCTGGACCGGAGCGGAAAGACCACGCAGGTCAAGCTGCTTGAGCAGCGGTTCGTGGAGCTGGGCAAGAAGGTCAAGGTCATGCGTTTCCCTGGTGAGTTTTAGTCGCCATTGCCAGCTTTTGCAGGGCTTGCCTAGGGTCTTCGGGGCTATTTACGAGTCGGCATAAGAAGTGTCGGGGTCAATGGCAAATACAGACATTGTGCGCATGTGCGAAGAGTCAGCGGCGTCACATCAAGACCCTTTTGCACGGGCAAGCATTCCTTGAAGTTTCATCACGACTAACAGTCGGCCTAGACAGAACCACTCCCATCGGCCAAATGATTGACGCCTACCTCAAGAGCTCAGTCGAGATGGAAGACCACGTCATCCACCTGCTCTTCAGCGCCAACAGATGGGAAGCAGTGTAAGTTCCCCCTTCGTCTGACCCACGCCACATTACAGCCGCGGAAGAACCCCTCTTACACCCGGCCCAGAAAAAACATACAGGCGCTCCTTGCGTCCGGCACGACAGTCATCTGCGACAGGTACTACCATTCGGGCATCGTCTACTCGGCCGCCAAGCAGAACCCGCACCTGAGCCTGCACTGGGCGCGCCAGCCCGAGCTCGGCCTGCCGCGGCCCGACCTCGTGCTGTTCCTCGACCTCGAGGAGGCAGTCGCGAGGGAGCGCGGTGGGTGGGGCGGCGAGGTGTACGAGAAGGCCGAGTTCCAGCGCCGCGTGCGCGAGCTGTTCTGGGGCCTGAGCCTGGGACGGGTCGGACCGGATGGCGGGCTCGGCGAGGAGGGGCGGGTCGATCGGGAGTTTCGGCAGGAGGAGGAGGACTTGGTCGTTGTTGATGCGGGTGCGAGCGTGGAGGAGGTTGCGGAGGAGATTTGGAGAAAGGTCGGGCCCAGGGTCGAGGGGGTTGAAAAGGGTGAGGCTGGGACAACCGTGAGGGTTGTATCGTGATGGGATGGTGAGGCCTGGTGAAAAGCGTTGAGAGTTGGTTGAACGGTGATGGTTGAGGATTCGGCGGCGGGTGGTGGACCTTGGCGTCTGTGAATCTTTTATTGCAACCGTGGATGGGAAGACTGTAAGGGTGGAAAGCAAGCGACGCGATAGAGCAGTCGTGCAAGTACATCCGACTTAGAGCTCACGATTAACGACTGGAAGGCCAGCAAAAGGAATTTCGTGGCTTTTGAATTGTCAAGAATGACGACCTCTGTTGTCCTCAGTTCCATCACTTGCTCATATCAGGAGCGTAGAACGACCAGAATAAATTGAATAAAGACTAGATTTCCCTATACCTCGATACCATTGCTCAGCTGCTCACCCGGGAACAGTCTCGAGTAGCGGCCAAAATTTCTCGTATAGCTTACACTGGTCATCCAGAATGGCGGCATTGGCCAGCGCCATTACACCAGGCACATCCCCCATGTCTCCCAAGATCGCAACATCAAGCGGTGCGTACGATGATCCCACGGCCGGCCACCCCGGTCCGGCGAAAGGGTTCTTAGCGAACTGTGCGATGGCCCCTCTGAAATACTCGTAGACCGCGTACGACTGGGACGTGAACGGCGTGGTCTTGGGATCGGAGAAGAGCAGGATGAGGTCCGAGCCGTGGAACTTACCCAGCCAGCCGTACTCGTCGGGCAAGAAGGTGAGGAGAGACGTGTTGAAGTGATAGCGCCACGTTGAAATGTTATTCGAGGCAGCCGTTGAAGCCAGAATGGATTGGGGCTGCGAGGTTTTGGTTATCATAAGACTCCATCAATCAGAGAATGAGGGACCATACGCAAGACCACAGAAAGTCTGTGTAGATGGCTGCGGCAACGTCAAAGTCCGTGACGAGCTTCGGGTCAGACCGGTAGACGGACACAATCGCATCCCGGGCTTCTTTCGGAACGAGAAGAGGCGGGAGGTACGCATCGAGAAACGCCGTCATGTTGACTTGATCGTTGACCAGCCCCCGTCCCTCCTCCGCCACAGTCCCCGTCAAGATCGGGACCCTGGCGACCTTTCCGTCCCTCCAGAGTTCCCCCGGCCAACTGAGAACAGTTAGGTTATCAACCTGTGGCACGAACAATATTCGATGATCAAGCATAGCGCCAATCAACGTCTCCGCGGGCACATCCCTCATACACTCTAACCCGTTCGTCGCGTTGCTGCACTCCACCGCCGCGGATAAACCTGTCCATGCCTCATCGCCGGTGGAAGGGACCGCTGTGAGCCCGAAGCTCGTCTGCCCGCTCGACATCACCGCCGCGCGGAACGGCAGCGAGGCGTCGTCAGCGTAGGCTTTGAGGTGATGATCCACCGAGAGGGCGCCCGCGGACTCGCCCCAGATGGTGACTTTTGACGGATTGCCGCCAAAAGCGGCAATGTTTGCTTGGACCCAGGAGAGGGCGAGGCGTTGGTCGTGCAGACCTAAGTTACGTTCCGCCAGTGGAAGGTCGGGGGACGATGGGAAGCCGAAGACTATATTGGTCAGTTCTATTCCTAGGCGGGCGGCATGGAACGGAGAGGTACCATTCGTGCGGTAGTTGAGGGTTACGGCGATGATGTTGTCATATGCTGCAAAGGCGGAGAGGTCGGATCTGCCGTGGCCCAGCTGCCAGCCGCCGCCTGGGATGAAGACCAAGACCGCGAGATCGGCGTCAGGGGAGTGAGCTGCTGGGGCAAAGATGTTGATGCTTAGGCAATCTTCGCTTTCAGGGGCTGGAGGGTTGTTGAAGAGGCCTTGAAGTAGTTCGGGTCTGGGGCCGAGCTCTTCATAGGATAAACATGGTCAGCACTGCGACATCAAGGACAGTCAGATCAGAGGGCGAGGTGTTGGCGCATACCACTGATGCCGAAGTTTTGAAGACACGCGGGACCAAAGCCCGTTGCGTTGAACGTGTTCGCCCATGGCGCCGGTGGTTCGGGGAGAGAGAATCGGTGAGGCCGTGCGGCGTAGGGGACTCCTAGGAACTTGTTGACTGCTGACGCTGCGTTGGGGAGGGTTGTAGAGACTCCCTGGATCAAGCCCGAGGATATCGTGGCTATTGGCGAGTCCGTAGCGGATGTGCCGATAGAGAATAGGAGTATGTTCTGGGCTTTCATGGCTCTTGTACTTGGACGTACTGTCTTCGTCTAGTAGGTAGTTGCTTGAATTTAATGTGAGGATTACAATAAACCTGCCCATGCAGGAAATCGGTTACCTATCTGGATAGATCGATGAATTTGTTTTCCACGCCTTACTTTATATCTGGGGCACAATCCCGTCAACTCCCTATCTCATGCATATGACATCAATACAACTCCCAAGGCTCACTGGCAGCATCCTTAGAATGAAGCAAAGTCTGCCCTGCCGGGCGCATTCATCATCTCCGGAATGTCGACGTTGGTCCGCAAGTCAAGTACTCAAGAAGCCCGCAGTTCTTCAGTGACATACCCAAAGACATTTCATTGGCCAGAGGGCTGTTATCCACCAATGTCATACATGCTTTCCAAGGCGAAGGACTGAGCTACAGGCACACTTGGACAAAGACTCCAAACGTAGCGCGAATACGAAAAACGAAACCAGAAAAAGGGCGTGCGGGGGAGGGGCTGATTGGTTCCAAAGGGACCCTAGGCGCGAGATCCCGACCTACACGAGATACGAGGCCAAGACTCTAGATGAGATCTACAGGCGGCTCATATACCTAAGTAAGAGGGACGGATGGCATAGAGAAATCGGTCCCGACTGCGCGGAGCAATGTCGATCACACTGGTAACACGGAATTGGAAGGGACGCAAATGAAGAGATGGTGATTGAAATTCATGACAAAAGAAATGGTCCAGTAAGGTGTCATGGAGAAGTCCTGTTTAAAAAGACATATAAAAAAAGAGGCAAAAAAGAACGCAGCGCTTCTGTTCGTAGCTCGTAACCTCGTCGTATCCAACAATCCGTCCAGAACGCCCTAAATTCGCAGCCCACGATCCCGACTCCCATGAACCCATCAAACCGGCTCCGGGCTATGGGTGACAACGATTTGCGGCAGAGGCGCCCTCAGTGCGGCCCGGTACGCATCCACCCTCCCATCAAGCGTGGCCGTCCCGACCGTCGACAACGACGCGTTCCGACTCACGCCGGCGTCCACGGCGAGCTGCTCCCAGTCCTTGGCCCACGCCGTCCCGGGTGGTGGCGGGCACGGCTTATCCGTGTTCGGCGCCGGTGGCACGAGCCTCCCGTTTCCCGGGCACAGGCAGGCGGGCGCCGTGGCGGGGGTGACCTTGATGACTGGTAGCGGCGTCGGCGTCGTCGCGAGTTCCGGCAGCGGGGGCAACGGCTCTGGGATGGGGAGCATGATGCCGAGGGAGTCCGGGTGCGGGTACGGGATGGGAGGGACGGGCGGGACGTTCTCTTGGCGGCGGGGGTAGCTTGCCTTGCGGACGAGTTTGGCGCGTGCCGGCGCCGGGATGGTGTGTCGGTGGTTGGCGGGGAAGTAGTAGTAGGCCGGAGGGGTTGGCGGGCGGCTGCTCGCACGGCTGGGGGTTTGGCCTCCTCTGCCTTGAGGTCCTTCTCAAAGGCACTGACGAGACATGTTATGGTGTCTCGGCGATGGAAGCAGGGCAGCTCAAAGGGGTGGGATGCGATCTCGAGGACAAGGATAATGACAATGTTGGCCGTGCTAGGAGGAATCAGTCTGGAGTTGGCATTACCAGCTGGGCGGGGTCCAAACTTACATCCCAACTGTAGAAACCGCCAGGTTCAGCTCGGTGATCGGGCTCTGTGTCACAAACCCAGGGTAGTGTGACATGGCCACTGAGGAGAGGATCGTAGCCGGAACCCAAAGAAGTAGCCCGAGTCGTGCGACGATGAAGGCCCATGATACCAAAGGCGACTGCAGCGACTGCCTCCTCACGACCTGATAGTTGCGGAAAGAGACGAAGATGTGCAGTGCCACGTACATGGGCGAGATCATAGACTGCGGAGAAACGTTAGCTTACATTCCAGGGAGCCACAGTTGCCCTGCGTGGTCACTCACGGCAAACAGGATGAAGCTTTGGCTCAGACAATCCCGCTCGCCCTTCTTCGAAGGTCGAAACTGAAGAGCCGACAGACACAGGCCTCCGCCGGACGCGACTATCATGAGAAACATGACAATAACCAGGAGGATCGGGAGAGGTTTCGGGGGAGACTTGGTAGAGACGTCGCTTCCCGACATGGATGACTTGGTCTCGAGCGACTCGACGACACTGACGGTGTCGTCGCACTTACCTTTGCAGGGAGGAGCCATGACGATGGGATGTGAATGTGTCTATTGAGGAGATACACCGTGGTCGCTTGCCTTTCCACATCATCAATAAACGTCCTACATGGCAGCTTCATATATCACTTGATCTGAGATGGCTGGTCATACCCGCGACAGCTGCCAGCGCTTGCTCTTGTGGCGGGTGGGCTCCCAACATTCCAGTACGAAACACGCCTGGATATGGAAAATTGGGGCCAGGGGACATTTTGGGGGGTTGACGGGTGGACTAAAGCAATGTCGGAACTCAGACAGTCGATCGATCTGCTGCATTCCTGACCATGGCTACCGAGACAGGGCATGGGCTCGCGAGGAGGGCGGTTGGTGTTTGACCTGAAGCCAGTCAACCAATGATCTCTGTGAAAATTTCACGGAACGTGCTGCTCTACCCGAAAACACATGCCAGTGACGGTCCGCGGCTGGCGGACAGCTCCTCAGACGATGGGATAGCCATGGACTAGGACCCGCTAAGGCAGGGCACGACAAGCCCCTACGCAGCACTTGAAAGCGGTTGGTGATTTTCAGGTACACTGTCCTAGATCCAAAAGGGTTCACACGTATGATCACGAACAGCAAAAGGCAGCATTGGAAACATCGCACAATAGATCCAAAACTCAAAATCATTGTATATTGATGGGCCAGTCTTATCCAAGGGAAATCCTGCTTATGGAGCCAGCTTCTGGCAATGAACGGGATGTTGCCTTGCTCGCTGACGGACACGGCTTGTGGACAGAACGAGGGTGCACAACGACAGCAGACTGTTAATCACGCCAAAAAGAAACACCCACGCGTACCAAAAGGAAATCGTGCATTTAGTCCAAGGGAATGAGATCATGCGCCCCCGAACTCGAGGTCGAATTACATCAACTCTCCCAGGCGAGCCTCACGGTCACCCGCCCAGTCGTCCTTCTCGTAGAAGCGGAACACGAGATCGTAGTCCTCAAAGTCGTGAACAATACGGTCAATGCGACGGTATCCACGAACAGGATCAACCAGGCGCTGAGCGGCAGTCGTGCGGGAAGCATGGTCGCCCATGCCGTATGGGTTGGCGCTCTTGCCCTTGGCCTCAAAGAGAGTGACACTGAAGCGGCCGGGCTTGAAGATGTCGACAACGTGCTCAATGATCTCAGCAGTGGTGCGGCCACTCTGACCGCCGGGAACGTTGGTCTCGAAAGAGGCGAACGAGCAGTTGGGCTCAGGGGTCACGTGGACTGTGAAGTAGTGAGCGGCGTTTCCACCCTTCTCGCTCTGAGAGGCGTCCTCGCCATCCGTGATGGCAGGAACCACGCCGTTAGCGGAGAAGCCGCAGGGACTGAAGAGGTAGGCGTCAACACGAGCACCAGGGTACTTGCTAGTAGGGTAGACGCTCGACAGGCCGCATCCCTCGGAGACGACAGTGCCAATAGCGTGACCCTCGGTGGTCAAAGCCTCGGTCGCGGCACGCTCGCCGTCGTTGAGGTCTGACTCGCAAGTGTTCTCGAAGACGTCGACGTGCTCATCACCCGACTTCTCGGGGACCTGAGACATGTCGCCCAAGCTCTGGTGCGCGTCATCTCGAGCGGCCTGGGTCTGCAGCAAATGCGACTTGTCGGTGGCGACCGCACTCGCGTGCGACAAGTAGAATTGCTTCGCATTCTCAGGGTCGAGATCGGTCATGAGAATCTCGAGAGTCTCGTCGCTGCGCTCCTCAATGCCGCTGCCAAAGCTGGCCACGCTGCCAGTGGGAATCTTGGACGCGGACCCCGGGGTCGCCTCCTTCTCGTCCGGAGTTCGAGGGGGGGTCAAGGTCTTGTTTGGCGAAGTGATGTAGAGGTACCAGTGGTCACCGTTCATCTTGCCGACCATGTAGGCGCTGCCACCTTCAAAGAGGTCGTCCAAGTATTTGACTTCGGACCTCCAGCTGCGGTGGGGACCCTGCTGGCGATCGGGGAACAAGAAATTCTTGCGGCTGTAGAAGACGCGGTAGGGGGTCGCGGCAGCCTTGATGTCTGTCGCATTCTCGGCATTGTGGAAGGGGAATCCGGCATGCTCGGCAGCGATGTGAAGCAGTCGCTGCAGACCCAGGAGCAGAGTGGTGGTGCCGCAAGTCTTGAGAATGAGCTTGTGAGGGAAGACGAACAAGCTGGACTCGGATAGCAGGTAGGCGTCGACCGACTCGGACTCGAGGACGGAGAGGATCTTGCAGTTAACCATGTCGAGCATGGTGACCCAGGTGTCGGCGGAGACGGCCTTCAACCCGTTGGGCTGGGCGCTCGCGGGGAGCGACTCAGGGCCGGGGGCGAACCAGACTTCGAGGAGCTTCTCAGGGCCTAAAGTGCATGCTTGTTAGCGGCTGGAGGAAGAGGGCGTAGCTTGCGAGGCTGGTTTGACAAACCTTCAAAGGCGTTGCTCGAGTCTAGGTCGGCAGCCACATCGTGATTGATGGTCAGATGAGGAGTCGCCTCAGCCGGGGAGAGGGCGTAGTCGTTGGGGACCGAGGGGTTGACCATCTTCTGCGGGACAGGCTTTCTGGGCGCGACCCGGGTACTCGAGAGAGTAGAGTTGGACGAAGAAGCCTTGGGTCGGTATTCGGGCTAGAAGTCCGCGGGACACTAGCTACCGCTCAAACGAACTTTGCGGCGTCCGTTTGAGAGAGTAGGCCCACAGGAAGGTGGACGTTCGTGGAGGCTGGCGGAGCCAGCAGCAAACAGGATTATGAGGGGTCTTAACGTCTCTCGAAAGGACGTTAGGGAGGTCGGGCTTGGAGGGGAATGAAGATGACCCTAAGGACCGGAATTGTGTCTCGACTGTTGGGCCTCGCTCTGGCAGACACCGATACCTGTGGTGGAGTATCGGACCTAGCAGACGAGGTTATCTGCGCGATCGAGGATTGGGTTGATGGACGGCGTAAAGCGCGGAAGCCTTGTGGTCCGAATATCGAGGTGGTTATTGCCTAGTGTCTTAAGCAGGTGTTATCTGGGCCTGGAGAAGAGGGCGGTTAGCTGGATGACACCGACTTCATGAGGCGAATTTGGCTGTTGCGGCCGGTCAATGAAGAGATGGAAGGCGCGCAAGTCAAGGTTCTCTTCAAAGACGCAGTGAACAAGAGGGACGGGAACCTACTTTGCGGGCTTGGAGAGGAAGCGGAGGAGGTCGATTTGGTTCATAGACGGCCAGGAATCGGCGGTGTTCGCGGAGCGCGAGGGGCAGCAAACTGGGCCACCAAGTGATTGAGAGATCACCGTTGCAAGGTGCTGGTGTAGGTTGGTGTTTTAGTCATGAACAGACGTGAAGTTTGGAAGAAAAAGGGATTGGACGTCGCGCAACCGAAGACGAAATCGGTGTGAAAAAAGGTCTGGGGAACACAATTTTGAAGCTCGAGACGAGATTCTGTCGTCGTGGTTTGTGGTTGTGGTTGCTGTGGTTTGGACCGGTGGAGGGGGGAACGATGTCTGGTGGGTAAAAAAAAAAAGTTGTTTCTGCAAATCGGGCGATTGCCAGCTGCGGTGGCCTGGGGCGTCCCCTCCCCGGCTCTCCACACAAAATTTCAGCCCAAACCACCTGGAGCTGTAGAGAGGTACATCGTCGCATGTACCCTCTCCCTTCCACTATACTAACCTATACAAGACGACGAATGGGAAGGCCATCGTCCCCGGCACTCCTTCGCCGACCGACTCTTTGCTGTACGACTGATAGCTCTGGGAAAGCTCCAATGTGTCTTCGGCCAACAGTCCCGTCTCTTCCCTAGTCTTGCAGCCTGAAAGTTGCTTGTGCGCGCGTCCTCCCCGGCCTAGTTGGTGGGTAGTTTTGCTCGGGAGAGGACGGACGGAGCAAAGACATCCTGGAGGGGGGACGTTCGAAGGTACCTAGCATAGGCAAGGTTCCGCACGGCTGATTGGGCGCGCCACAGGAGACATGTGTCGCTGAAGAATGAAAACGAGACGTCATTTTTCCACCGTGCCATGCCCGGAACCCAAGGGAAATACCACAATGGAGGGGTAGAGTGTAGGCTGTAAGCCGTCCAAATATAGACATTCGGTCTGCGAGGGTGCGATACAGGGGGGGCACGCCGACCACAAGGCGAGGAGCCATTGAAAGTTGGCAACATGCACAGCACGCATGAGCGATGCATCTCTTGCCATTGTGAATTATTCGTGTTGCATTTTTTGCATTCCTTGCGTTGCATCCCATCTCCAGCGTGTACACGTGTAAAAGTCGCCCATACATGCGGTGAGAAGTGCTGCGCTGCCGCTACATGTCAATCAGGTACCGCCGCGACATTGCGGGGCGCCTCATGTCGACGAAGCCAGGGATTCCGCCAATCTCGAGTCGCCCTCACGTGCCCCCAAGCCTCCTCTGCATCGAGCACTGGGCCGCACATCGGACGCCGTTGAGAACAGCGGAGTCGGGGGCCCAGTGTCTTGTAGCGACATCGTGATGCTTCTTGACCGCGTCTCAGTCTCTTCTTGCACCACTGGTGCGCCCCTGGTAGACTGGTCACTAGCCACACTCCTATCCAACAACTCATGGCCGTCTTGTCGTGGTTTCATGTCTTCGTGTCGCTGATGGAACTGACAGTCATGTTCGTCGGTGTCCAGCTCAGATGATGCAGTTGTAGAGCATCGCATGCGCCTGCTTCGCCATCGATAAGCGGACGTCGGCACACTGTCGACCGCCGTTTTGGAGCCTACTGCATGGTTTCTTCGGTGCTCATGACTGGTTTTGAGCTTGGGTTTCGATAGTGGTCGTCAGATTTGCTGTAATGTCGCTGAAGATGCGAGACAGCGAGCAGTCCTGGTATTTCTCAACGAGTGTGTCGCCCTTGGTTTCCCCCTCGGTTTCGGTCTTGCCAATGTCGTGACCATGAACTTGGGTTCCCTGGGGGTACACGGGTCTCCTGCCGGACTCGACCAGCTCGCCAAACTGAGGGTCGATGGGGACGGTGCCAAGGAAAGGCACGCCAAACTCCTGAGCCATGACGGCGCCGCCGCCGGAGCTGAAGATGTTGGTGCACTCGGAGCAATGCGGGCAGACGAAGCCGCTCATGTTCTCGACGACGCCAAGTACCTTGAGTCCAGTCTTGACACAAAAGTTGAGCTCCTTCTTGACATCCGCTGTCGCCACCGCTTGGGGCGTCGTGACAACAACCGCGCCGGCCACCTGCCCTGGGCGGGCATCGCGGAGAAGCGTCTCGGCCAGGGAAATGTGCTCATCGCTGGTGCCCGGGGGCGTGTCGATGAGGAGGTAGTCGGTTTCGTCCCACAACACGTCGGAGAGGAATTGCCGGACCATGGCCGTCTTCTTGGGTCCACGCCAGACAACGGCGTCGCCTCGCCTGGGTAGGAGGAAACCGAGACTCATGGCGTGAAACGAGCCGATGCCCTTTTCTTCGACGGCATCGTGGACCGGCACAGGAAGCCAGCCTCCAGGGGCTTGTTTCACTTTCTCGGCCTCAATGGACAGCATGCGGGGGATTGAAGGGCCCGTCAGATCGACATCAAGAACGCCAACCGAATGCCCGGCTAGTGAAAGGGACAGGGCAAGCTGAGTCGTCACGGAAGACTTTCCGACGCCGCCTTTGCCTGACAAGACCTATACATTGAGTTCAGTCAGTTGCTTTAGGAGTCCATGCAAGTGAAAGAAGGCGGGGTCGTACCAGCACAATGTGCTTGACTTTGGAAAGCGACATGGCAAATGCTCTTTTTTTCTTGGAGATGCAAGAAACTGGTTTCGAACTCGCGATGCAAACTTCAAGGTGATGACGAGGAAATTAGGACTGGCAAATTTCCCCAAACTGCAGGATCTTAAAGTTGAGGTCGAAGAGCAAGTCGAGCCCGACTCATTTGAAATCAGCGCGGCGATGTTCTCCACTCGCGGCCAGCACCTCCCGGTAGGTTGGTAAGCACAGAAAGGCACGAGAACGGCGGAGTGAAAACGAATAGAGACCTGCTAGTGCCGGACGCGGTCAAGGTTGGTCTCACGGCCTGGTGCTTTTCATTAGTCGCAGGATGTAGGTAGTTGGCGGACTTTGACACATTCTAGAAATATTCCATCCCCCCCTCGTTTGCCTTTTTTTCTTACTTTTTTCTTACTTCTTTTTCACAGTCCTTTTTTTCCCCCGACTTGCCCCTCCATCGCTCGCATGCCGTCATCGGCGTAGAGTGCTGCCTTCTGCTGACTCAGTACCCTTCTTATCTCGTCTCATAGATTCCTTATCCAAAGTCTCATCAGAAGAATCTCGGCAAAACCTCGGCTCTGTACACTCACTCACTGCCTGGGGAAGTTCAGGTGCTCCTCAGCACGAAGAGCCTGCTGGGGCGCAAAGGGTCGCGGCTGGGACCGCCGGGACCCACTCGACGCTGCCAAGCTCCAATGCCAGACACGCAGTGAGTTGAAGTTGAACGCAAGCGAACAACTCCTGGCGTGCACGGACGCTCTCCGACACGTCCGGAATCTGATGCCACTTCTGGCTGGTCCTGCGACTCATACTCGACCAGGGACAGTCTGATCTCCCATTTGCATTCCCCTGCTTTCCCATCGTATCTTTTATCTGCGAAGCTTGTTTGACTCTCGAGTTCCTTGCCGAAACTAGCGCGTCCGTCTATCGAGACAACGCCAATCCCGACTGCTTCTCTCTCGTAGAATTGCCTCTTGGCTTCTGTTCTACTCTGTTCTGTTCTGCCTGCTTGCCTCAAACCTCGAGAGTGCATCTGCGACCAATTGAATCGCGCATTGCCAACGCGAGACGACGACAACATGACCAACTAGGCCCCCGATCACAAACGACCCTCTCTCGACTTGCGGAGATCCGCAAGCTCACTTGATTGTACTACATCAACAATATGATTTCTAGCTTCACGCAATGGACGATCCATGGGGCTCCCCGTGGGCAACCACCGACGCCACAACTGCGCCGTCTACCAGTCCCTCCAAAAACATACTCGAACCTCCGCCTCCCGCCTTCCTATCCACTCCGAACAACCTAAACATACCATCTAGTCAGTCAGCCTGGCTCGATGACGATGCCTTTGGCGATTGGTCCTCCCCCGATCCAGGCCAGGCTACCAACGCATCACCATGGACCTGGGGGAACGAGGCTGCACCAATCGAAGGGTTGGCACCGAGCTACGAGCCGAGACGAAAGAGTAGCACACCCAAATGGCCCCAAAGCCGGTCAGCTTCGCCCGGACTTAGACACCCGATTACGCCCAACACCGCCTCTCCCTGTCAACCTTCACCAGATCCGTGGGCAAACCATGTTTCGGCGTACACGAGAGACGAACCTGAGCCTCTAGCGCGACTACCCCAGATACCCGATGTACCGCCGCTCGTGCTCGAACCACCGCAGGTGGGTTTGGGGTTGACGAATCCTCCTGATGCCTTTGAACAAGACTTCGTCGCGCATGAACCAGCCACCACCCAGTTCGCCGACCCGATGCCCGATCCTACACGCGAGCAACTACAGTTCAGTGACACCCCCATCCTCGACCGCTTCCCCGTCGCCGTCAAGCAGGACAACGAAGCTGCTCCATCCTCTGCCTCGGCGTCATCTGAGGATGGCGACGACAACGATGAAGCTCTAGATGCCAGGCACGCCGACTCACCCATAACTTCCATCGAAGACAATACAACACCAAGGGCAACACAGAGAAAGCCCTCTGGCAAGGTTCTGGAACTCGTTGAAATGTATGATGGGATAGCAAAGCGAAGAACAGTCACCCCCGAGCGGGTCGTACCTCGCCGTAGTGCAAGCCGAGAGCCCGGACACACTGTCGGTGAGGTTCGGGATCAAGGTAACGAGACCGATGGACGACTGGAGACCGAGAAAGAGGGACCACCCCATGACTCCACAGACTCAGATTCAGTAGACCTACTCAACGATAGCAATGCGGCGACAAGACATGCCGACGAGACACCGAGGTCGGTACGGCCAGATCATGATCCTTTCGAGGTTGACTTGGGCAAACTCGACTTACTCTTGCCTGACACTCTGAAAGAAGTACCGGAACCACCTGAAGATGTATCGGATCGGATCATTCATGACAGCTTCACGAGCATCTCCGAGCGTAAGATGTGGTACCGACTTTCCCGCACTGAATCCCTTCGTAAATACAATGCGGGCGACGACGAAAACTACGTCCGAATCAACTGGACGAACTCTACACTGCGCCTAGAGACCTTGAAGACTGTCCGTCGGTGGATAGAAGAAGACTCGTTTGGTGGGCGAGCTTTCCGTGGCGGATCGGTGAGAAAGGCAGGCGGCAAGAGCTTTGGCTGGGACGCGACCACGGCGGCGTCTCCAGTTGACCTCGACAGAGTTTTCGGTCGCAAGCAGAAGCGACAGGCATCGTTTCATCGGCCGAGACACTCGATGGGCGGTCTCCCTTCTTTATCGACAGTTTCCATGATTCCTGGCTCAACGGGAAACACCCCAGTTTCAGCACAAGCCAATGGCAACTGGGAAGGTCTCGCGGCGTTTGGTTGGAGCTCAGGGACGGACGATACGAAAGCCGCAGCAGCAGAGGCAAAGGCATCTAAGCCTTCTGCTCCCGGCATACCGCTTCCCCTCGCATTCACTGGGTTCGACAACAAGCCCAAGTCGCACGCCTCGTTGCCGGCGTTTATCAAGCCGATCGCGCCGACACCTCCGACTACAAACGCGACAAGTCTTCAGAAGGAAAATGTCGAGGACGATGAGGACGAATGGGGGGACATGGTTTCGCCAACCACGGCTGAAGAGACGGATTCCACGTCTCTTCCAAAGACTAGCTGGGATTCGTTCTCGACCAACCCGCTACCCGATGTCACAAGCATCCCACCATCCGATGGCTTCAATACTAGCAACCCTGATCCCGATGTACTCCGCACCGGGAATAAAGACGGCGGCGATTTCCGTAACAAATCAGCACTGGGGGATATTGGCAGTGTCATCAGCCCCGCCCCCACCTCCACACCTCCTGCGGCAGCTGGCTTACCCCATAGCCAAGACGGCTCTTTCAGCCCGTCAGCATCGACATACACGTTCAGACCGGCGTCTTCAGTCAAGCGACCAGCGAATATCTCCATCGCAGCGACACTCAGCGACCCGCTGGCCCCATTAACTTCTGCTAAAACCGGCGTATCTGCGGGTGGATTAGTCGAGCCGCCCCCTCTTACAACCAGCCTCTATACACCGTCTACCGCCCAGCCCCCGAATTCTACCGAGGATATTGATCTTGTGCATCGGTTTGTGCGCAGTCTGCCAGACCTCTCATACATGTTGCGGTGATGTTTACCTCAAGCAATTTGTTACGTTCACGTAGGATATTGGGCATCTGAGCAGCGCTTTCATCTGTAAATCTCCATCATTTAGCAATGCTATACATAGCGCATTGACTCTGGCGTTTGGATGGGGCATTGGAAACCCCAAGGTGCCACGGCAGGCGATCTGGCACTAGGTACATAGTTGATTTCTGTACAATTAACCCCCAGGCACATTGTATGTCATTATGTCTCGCGATGACTGAGCTCCGTGTTTAGACCCGAAGATATGCATGCCACGGAGGTGTATGATATGCGGCCAAGCCGTGTCGCATGTCCGAGCGAGTCCACTTTTTGGGTTGCGCTGACGGGCTCCATGACCGGAGTGAATGGGCGTTCACCGCGTCAAGAGCCCGAGTCGTGATCCCGACGTCGATTGCCGTATAGACCGTCATTGCCGGATTCAGTGCCGGGTGCGGGGACACGCGGGGTCGCAGGGCAAAGTGTTGCTGGCTTGGTGTCAAGAAGCGCGTTCTGTGACCTGTGCTGGGCTTGAATGGCGTCGGGTGGAGGGGCGACCGGTTCTCCACGCTCCGCGAGATCCACTGCCAGGGTTCCAAAAGAAACCTTAACGCATTGCGTTACGGGTGTCTCGGTTTGCTATCGCGTCTTAAGCTTTTCTATTAATTTGAATAAAAACAGCTCAGATGAGAGAGGAGCGAGTCTGAAAGTACAAGAAAGCCCCGGCGTCCCTGTCTTGACAGGCTATGATTATTCCCGTCAAAATCCAAGTTTGACAGACGTCTGTGGTCCGTCTTGTACGAGCCCAACCTAACCTTACTCCACCAGCTCGCTTCTTCTTGTGGGCTTTTCTTCTTCAGCGCTGCCTAGGAGAAAATCTTTGACAATGGCAGTCCTTGAGCTCCTTGTCTCACCCTGGGCACCAGCCCTCTTGGTGGTGGGCATCGTCGCCTACTATGTTTATCCCTACTTCGTCACGTTCGGTCACCTTCGCGACATACCGGCCCCATTCCCGGCACAGTTCACGAACCTGTGGCTGCTGTCTGTGGTCCGGCGCGGCACCAGGTACCTCACAGTCGATGAAGTCCACAAGAAGCTGGGCCCCGTCGTCCGGATCCAACCGAATCATGTGAGCATCGCCGATGATGATGCCATTCAGACTATATACGGCCACGGGAATGGCTTTCTGAAAGCGTAAGTGCATCCACGCTACCGGCAACCAATATGAACTGCTTTGGAGTGAATCCAAAGCTGATGAGCCGAGCGCAAGAAGAGCACCTAGACTGACCCCGCACCAGCAACTTTTACGATGCCTTTGTCTCCATCCGCAGGGGCCTCTTCAACACCAGAGACCGCCACGAGCACACACGCAAGCGCAAGTTGGTCTCGCACACCTTCTCCGTCAAGTCCATCAGCCAGTTCGAGCCGTACATGCACGAGAACCTGGTCCTCTTTGTTAAAAAGTGGGACGAACTCATCAAGAACGACCCCGCCGGCGCCACCATTGACTGTCTCAAGTGGTTCAACTATCTGGCGTTCGACATCATTGGTGACCTCGCCTTTGGCGCACCGTTTGGCATGCTCCAGGCCGGCGCCGACATCGCCGAGGTCCGCGAGTCGCCAACAAGCCCGCCCATCTACGGGTCCGCCATCGAGATTCTGAACCGGAGAGGCGAGGTCTCGGCGACGTTGGGAATCCTGCCCGAGCTGAAGCCCTATGCAAAGTACCTTCCGGATCCCTTCTTCAGCCAGGGGTTGGAGGCGGTGCAGAATCTCGCGGGCATGGCCATCGCCCGGGTCAAGTCTAGGATAGACGACCCGCCCGATATTGATCGTCTGGACCTGCTCGCGCGCCTGATGGAGGGACGCGATGACAAGGGGAGCCCCTCGGCAGGGAGGAGCTCACGGCCGAGGCGCTGACTCAGTTGATCGCCGGCAGTGACACAACGTCCAACTCATCATGCGCGCTGCTGTACCACGCCGCAAGGACCCCCGGCGTGCTCGAGAAGCTGCAAAAGGAGCTCGACGACGCCATCCCCGCCACCTGCGAGGTCCCGACCTACGACATGATCAAGGACCTACCCTACCTCGCCATGGTCATCAACGAGGCCCTCCGCTACCACTCCACCTCCGGCATCGGCCTCCCGCGCGAGATCCCGGCCGACTCGCCCGGCGTGACCATCCGTGGACACTACTACCCGCCCGGCACGGTCCTTAGCGTTCCGTCGTACACGATGCACCACTCTAAGGAGATCTGGGGCCCCGACGCGGACGATTTCCGCCCCGAGCGGTGGGAGTCGGTGACGACGAGGCAGAAGAACGCGTTTATCCCGTTTAGTACGGGGCCCAGGGCTTGCGTAGGCAGGAACGTGGCGGAGATGGAGATGAAGCTGATTGTATCTACGTGGGCGAGGAGGTACCGCGTTGAGCTGAGGCAGGATCACATGGACACGAGGGAAGGGTTTTTGAGGAAGCCTCTGGGGTTGGACATTAACATTAAAAGACGGTAGATTGCGTCAGCTGTAGAATAATAGGTAGTTACAGGATGATGCCTCGTGGCCTTTTTTTGTTTGTATTGATTACGGCAAAGGTTTATAGCGCGTCTAGATGGTTCCAACACACCCCCAATTTCCGTGGCCTTTGATGTAGATGTTCAGGAACTCGGGGTGTAAATGATGGTGTGGACCAGATCTTTCCCTTGGGCTGTCCGTCTCATCGGCACAGCCAGACACGGAACGAACTTCCGAAGCTGGAAATCTTCTTGATCCCTTTCAGCGATGAGTGATGAACAGGCCCCGGGTTCCAAGTGCTGGGTTTACAGCTCCTGGATGCGCGTTAACATAGTTACTCTGCCTGGAACACAGAGGCACTGACATCGCTGTGCTGCAGCTGCCAAGCCTACAAATAATTCGTGGCCCGTTTGGTTACCACCAAACGGCCCTCTTCGTGCCGTCAGTAGGCTACGCCAAGCACAAAGTTTTAGCTATTGTGTTCAGATCGTCATAGACTTCGCGGGTGCTTGCCAAACGGCTAAAAGCAAGCGCCTGCGGGAGTCGTAAGGTTCAAAACATCGACCGGATGCATGTTTGCCAAAGGCGTCACACGGGGATTAAAACTCGCCCTGGAAGTCTCCCTGTGCCCACTCATTGGAGAACCACGCTAGGGAGTCCAGGCCCATGGGCTCCATGTTGAAATCGAGGCTGTCGAGTGCGCCCTCAAACGCGTTGTTGACTTCGAGCGAGCCCATTGCCGTAGGTTGCGGGGGTGCAGGAGCCTGTTCGGCCGGCTTTTCAGCCTCGGGCACCTGGATGTCTTCCCACGCGCCAATGCCGAACGGTCGGTTCGTGAGCTCGTCGGCGGCGGGTGCGCCACTGTCGGGGTCTTCGACCAGCTGCACTTGCTTCGCACGACTGAGGCGGATGCGTTTGGCCCCGTTGCCGTTCCGGTCGTCTTGAGGCTCTTCGCTAAGTAATCGACTCGGAGTGGCCTGTATGGAAAGCCCGTGGTCCATGAGTCTTTGTAAATCGGCTTGCTAATGAAGAGTCAGAAACAAAACACCGTCGGTTCCGCCTAGTATCACTTACAATCGAGACTGCTGCCGTCCCAGAACAGCAGCCCTTGGTCACGTCGAGGCAGACAGAAGCTTTCTTGCGGAGGATGTCTGGCGTCAGGCCGTACTCTTCCGCGTTGAGATGGTAGATGTAATATAGCATCCGTATGCACTGGTAAGCACAGACGGGCATATCCAGGTCTGCGACGGGGTAGTGGTCCAGTTGCTTGACCGAGGTGAACATATTGGACATTTCCATCGCGTGCTCAAAGCATTGACGTTGGCATCCGGCGATGAAGTTAGGCCCCATCCGTTCTGCGGCCGACCGAGACAGCGAATCGCGGAGCCCAACCAGCCCTATCCTGAAAAGATCGCAGTTGCACTGCCGCCACCAGACATGAATCATAATGAAGACGCAAAGACGGGGTGAGTATGCCCTCAGGCGTAGACTATTGTCGGACCAGCGGAAAGACACTGGTAATCGCTCAGCAAAGTCTGAGAGCTCCTTGGCGAACGACTGTAGCTGTTCCTGGAGTCGCCCGAGGTCGTCGTGGGAACAGTTTGAGGCCCTCTTGGCGAACTTGAGGATCCTGCCGCGCAGCCAGAGGATGCGGACGTGCAGTGCCAAACTGCCAATGTCATCGTTCTCAGACTCGTCCGGGCTGGGGACCAGTGGTCGCAATGACGGCGGGGCAAGGTCGAACTCGAAGTCTCTCTCGTTACAGGGGAGGGATATATGAATGGTCTCGGGCGTCCATAAGGTGAGGTCCCGATACCCACCGGCCATGCCTTGGTCGATCATGAACAGCGCCCACATCAGGCGTCGCCTTGATTCCTGAGCTAGAAAGCACAGGTCCGGATTCTCGTAGTTGAGTCGGAGGGCCGTAGCGAATCTTGCCGCTGTGGCTGCAAGCATGAAGGCGCTTGAGAAGCGACGGGTCAAGATGCGGTACTTGATAATAAGGGCGAGAGTCTGGACTTTGATGGTTGAGGCGTTCTCTAGACTCTTGAGGATAAGAGACTCGGACTCGTCGATACACTTTTCGCCATAATCCCTCGTCCCTGGGCCCAGGTCAGTGAGCATGCTAGTGATGCCAATGAGAGCAAGCAGCAGTGGACGGTCCAGGCCGCCAACATGATGCCGCTGCATGAGAGAGGCTCGATGGAGGAACGACAGCATGGGGATGTGATGAACATGGCGGAAGAAGTTGTCCAGAGCTCGACTTATAAGAGACTCAAACTGGGGATCAGGGGCGGACCTAGTGAAAATCAGCGAGTGCGACAGTGATGAGCGAGAATGAAAGTGAGCGTACAGGTCATGATTGAACGTGCTTGGTGTATTGGATGTGACGGCATCGGGACCGACAGCGTCAGAATCATGCACCGCATCTTCCCTCGACAGTGACCGACGGTTCTGTTGGTCGCGGTTGGTGGCAGCAGCCGACGTCGATGAGGTTGGTGATCTCACGATCTGATCGCCGTGGCCGGGAGGGTTGATGCTCAGCCGAGTCCGCTTAGATGCCCGGTAGACGCACTCGATCCCCTGGGCGCGGCATCGATCGCAGGCCGGGGTGTGACCGCTACACCGAGCTTTCCGGGAGTGGCAGCTCTGGCACGCCTGGCGGACACGGCGTCTAGGCAGGGGAAACGTCGGAGCGGCGGTGAGGCCATTTGCCTCGGAACTAGGGTCCTCATATGTGCATGAGAAGCCGAGGCGTTCGCAGTTGCTGCAAATGTCCCGTCGGCCATCGCAGCGGACCTTACGGGCCCGACAGGTGACACATGTTGTCGCCGAGGACCGCTTGGTCGGTTTGGGAGACACGGACGACGAGGCTCCTGCGGTTACGGCTGCGGCTGAGGTTGTCACGGTGGTAGCTGCGGCGGCGGCGGCGGCAAGGTCTGCGTTTGTGCTTGTGCTTGTGCTTGTGTTTGAGGTGCTGCTGCTGGTGACGGCGGCGGCTGTCGGTGGTCTGTCGGGTCGGAGATGACGTCCAAGGTTGTCGCTGTTATTGTTGCCGTTGCTGCTGCTGCTGTTGTTGTTGCCGATGTTGCTGCTACCGTACAAGTCTGCCATTCTCCCGAATACCTCAATAGGCGGGCGCCGTCGTTTTGCTCACCGGAACTCGGCGGCGTGTACAACAGACATGGAGAGAGAGGGACGAGGCTCAGAGTCTAGGGCTCATGGATTGCCCATTCCGGAGAGGAATCGGCGTGGGTCTTTGTGCGTGTTGGGAGGCGACCACCTGCTGCACTGGGAGACTATGCAGGAGAAATCCGGGGAACAATTACACTGTGCAGGTTCCTTGATGCAAAGACAGAGCGGCAGAGACGTGGGATACGGCGGTGGAATGTGCGAGAGGGAGAGGGGTGATGTAAGAGATTGGCTGTGGATGTTGCTCCGTGACTGAACTGTGCAATGCGCGCTCGTATTTCTCGGGAGTCCTTCCACTTGAGCCCCAGCAGTGTTTACTCCCAGGCACGGTGCATTTCAGCAAGGCCAAGGCCACATTGAATCAGTCAAAGTCACACACACACACACACTCCGTAGAGTTAGCCGGGGTACTCGGGGCACCTCTGGGTTACCTTGAGTGGAGGAGGGTGGTCTTGGTTCTCCATGGCATTGGAGCTTTCAGGCGAGTTCAGCTTGAAATCTGCTGAGCATTAGTGGGGTGAAAGCCCCTGTCAGCCCCAATGCAGCCCCCCAAAGTCTCCCGGGGAATGACGGGGTGAGTTTACCTGATCTTTGGGTAAATGCAACTAAGTTTGAGGAACCACGCGAGACATCCAAAGCATTTTGTCATTTCTTTTGTAGTTGAATCCGGTTTGACAAAGGCCAAATATTTGCAATTAATTGGAATTCAGTACGACCATCGCAGCCACGGGCCAGATTATGAAAAACAAGATCCACGTCGTGAGCCACGTCAACATAGACGGTGAAAAGACCCGCGACGGATGGAGCACCATGCGCCGCGCACCTCTCCGGGATACTCAACGGCTGTCGGCGGTCTGCGTCGCTTAAGTCGACTTACATGCTAAGACACAGGTCAAGGTATACAACAATAACTCTTTGGACCTTAGCATCTCAGTATCAAGTCTGAAAAAGAGACACGAATCTCATTCAATTACCGAGGTTCCACAACATTATTGAAAGAACGAAGCCGCTCAGGATTTACCCCCGTGTCCAACCTCTGCTCAGCGACGGCTATCGGCGACTCCCCCGATAGGCGCGACCGATAACCGTCATTCTGACGTGCACATGCCGATTTGGTGGCTTTTCAGCCGACAGCAACCCGCTCTGCATCATTCAGGAAGACGTCTTTGTAGCAGTTCGCACGCAATCTTGTTCCACCAATGATCTAGTTTATTGCAAAATTGGCATATTGATGTTCAAACGTTGTGCTTTTTGAGAACCTGCGGATCATCGAGCTTCAGCGCAAGGACAAGTCCATCGGAGAGTAAATACCGCCAGCCGACGATTGTCCTTAGCATCAAGCTAGGATAGCTTTAGAGACCCAAAGGACTTGCTAAACCACTTAACTTGAGCCACCATCTGCATGGTGTCTATCAAAGATTGTACTCTCTAGATTGTGACCATGTGGGATCCCCCAAAAAATGTTACTTTGGCAAGGCTATGTGATGGAACTGTCACCAATACTGTCCGCAGTCCCGACAAAAGACACGGCATTCAGCTACAACTGTTGAGTTAGCAGTCATGTCTTACTAGAGCCTCCTAGTGAGCAGCTATTAGAGTGACACAGTCAATTTGGCTTGAAGCTCAATAGACAGATTGGTGCGACAACAGTCAATCGTAGACCGTCGGGTTTTCAATGGGAATGGTTGTGTTGGGTCTTCTCCTCACACTCCCAAGCTAAGCGTACAAAGATGATTCCCTTGTTTTGCCAAGTTGTGTTTATTTCGTACGAGGCTTGTCAGGACCTATGTTGCAGGCGACATAGCCAGCATACAGAGCGAACGCAAAGCGGGCAGGTTAGTTGTAAATTTCTTTAATTCCTTCTTTTTCTCAACACCAAGTAGGAAAAACCACGAGACGACTACTCCATGGTGTGAGAACCCATCGGCGGCAAGAGTGTTGTCAAAGATGTAGTGTTCGAATCCATGGTGACTATGGAAAGGCAATTCGGACTCGGCTCCGCACACCGAGAAGGCGGTGAATGGATTTCGGTAAGTGAAAGCGGTCAAGGCGCTTGGTAGCGGTGCTGACCGAGCGAACTGGGGGCGCTCTTATCGAGAGAAAAAATGTACCCCACCACAACCCCGCGATAGAGAAATTTCCGATTGCGTTCAAAATCATTCGTCGCATCGCCTCCTCATTTGTCCAAGCATACGGCCAGACACTCGACTCTCGACTGCGATTCCTCGGAAGTTTTGTGTGTTTGCGCCGGAATTCTTCTTAGACGCGACGCTGCAGACCAATCTCGCCATCATGTCGAACGATTCGGTGGCCGCCACCCCGGCGGTCGCGAGCCCAACGGCACCTGAGGAGCGCAAGCCCATCCACGCTCTCGTCCTCGATACTGGCCCATTGATCAAGAACGACCCTCCGTCAGTACCCTTCTCGCCCAGGCCGACGAGCTGTACATGCTTCCATCCATCATCGAGGAAATCCGTGACGTCAATACCCGCACCCGAGTCGAGACGACCCTCATGCCCTTCGTCAAGATCCGCAACCCTCGCCCCGACAGCGTCAAGTTTGTCTCCAACTTTGCACGACGCTCCGGTGACCTCGAGGTTCTCAGCAGACCAGACTTGCACCTCCTTGCCCTGACCTACGAGCTCGAACTCGAGAAGAATGGAGGCGATCAGAGATTGAGGAAAGAACCCGGCCAGCGGGTTGCCAACGCCAAGGCACCCAGCAACGAGGTCTCGGAAACCAAGCCTGAGGTCGGCGCCGAGGTCGAATCCCAAAAACAGCCTGCTACCGAAGACGGTGCGACTGCAGAGACGGGCCATTCTGATGAAGGCATCTCTCTGGAACAGCGCGCGGAGGCAACTCAAACTGAAAACGTGCACGATGCGACAGCGGAAGCGTCATCCTCGGATGCAGCGGCGGCGGCAGAAATCACACAAGACATGGCCAAGCTCGAGGTGGACGACAAGACAACTTCCGAGCCTGCTATTTCAAGTGTTGTCGACGCCACAGAGGCGCAGGGCGAAGGATCAGACTCCGAGGACGGCTGGATCACGCCGTCCAACGTCAAGAAGCACAAGGAGAAGGATAGCAAGCTTCTCCAGCCAACAGCGCCTGCGATCGACATCAAGGTCGGCATCCTTACTTCCGATTATGCCATGCAGAACGTCGCCCTGAGAATCGGACTGAACCTTTTGTCGCCATCCATGTCTCGCATCACCCAGCTCAAGACTTGGGTGCTGCGATGCCACGGGTGCTTCCAGGTCTGCAAGAAGATGGACAGACAGTTTTGCCCCAGCTGTGGACAGGCTACCCTGATTCGCACGTCGTGCACGACTGAGGAAGACGGCACCTTCAAGATCCATTTGAAGCGCAACTTCCAGTGGAACAAGAGAGGCAACGTCTTCAGTATTCCCAAGCCCGTGGCTGGCACGGCCAGCGGCAAGCTCAACAAGCACGCTGGAGGCAAGAACAACTGGGGCACGAATCTCATTTTTGCAGAAGACCAGAAAGAGTACGAGAAGGCTGTGGGCGAGAACCAACGTGCCCGGCGGAGAGATCTCATGGACGAGGATTACCTTCCGAGCATCCTGACTGGCGACCGACAAAGCGCCAACGGAAAGGTCAAGTTGGGTCCCGGTAGAAACATCAACGGACGCAAGAGGAGATGAAGAGGCAAATGGATGAGGTTGAAGCTGATGTTCATATGTTCTGCATGATACCATGATAGATCCCCCAAAGGGCGGAGACGAAAAAAAGGGAAACCCCTCGACGGGCTGGATGGATGGACGGATGGACGGATAGTGGGAAGAAAAAAAACAAGGTTGAATTTTCGATGCGTCACTCTGGTTTTTCCTTAGATTTGCAGAGCATCACCGCAACACGAACCGAGTAATGAGACTCCGATTTCCCCCATGAATGCAAGCCTTCCCCCAACGCCGTTTTTGTGAACCAGACAGAGCCTTTTTTGTATCTACGAGTCTTGAGCGTGGCACAAAGACTACCGTGCTCTTCCTCTCCCCTCCGTGCCGCGCCGGGCAGTGTGCCCTTGCTCGTCCCGCACTAGTCGTGATGTTGCCGACGCATGATCATGTCCGAGCGAAGGTGTCTCGGCCGGGGTATCTGGGTTTTTGGGTTGCCGATTACGTGGTGTACAAGTTTACTCGGACTCTTTGGGCTTGGTTAGTTGCGTTCTGCCCCGTAAGCAAGTCGTAGAAACTCACTTTGCTGGGTAAGGAGCAGGTTGAAGCGGCGCTTCAGCGTCACACGCTGGCGCGACCACTTGTCGTCGGGGGAGAAGCGAGCAGGGTGGGCGGACTTGGTGACCTTGCCATCAACCACCTTCTTGAGGGTGTACACGCGGTTGCCCGCCTCGTCGAGAGTATACATCAAATGCATCTTGAAAGACCGGGGGATGGTTGAGGTTGCGTGGGGGGCGTAGGTTGTCGGCGGAAGAAGGTAGCCGTCGTGATCTTTTTCTTTTAAGCAACGGGTGCGAAGCTCGATCGGAGAACTTTTTTTTTCTCTTTGCGATGCAGACATTTCGGATCCACGTGACTCTCGGTCGGGAGCCAATGATTTGGTTGAATTGAGCTGTTCTCGGTATGAAGTGGGACCGTGCTCTTTGGTGCCCACACCTGCCACAGGGATTCTGTGGCCTCAACCTTGGAACACTTCAGACTTGTCAATGGCATCTCTGTATGCAAAATCACCAACAGTCGATTTTGGGACACAAGTGTCTTGCTTCTTACTCTTTTTCAACCAAAAAAAAGATGTCCCACTCTTTGCAGCTGTAGATAACAGCAAAATTTTGCCTAGAAGCTGCCCCAGGATGTCAGGTGAGACCTTCATTATAACTTTGAGGTCTTTTGATGCGGTCCATACTAGAACTGGTTCTTACTGAGTAGACCCAAGCAAATCATAACACTAGTTCTTTTATTGTTATTATCCATGACGATGCGGTGCTCTTATTTCCATGGCTGGCATTTTCAGAGCATTTTCATACTGAACAATGGACTGATTCCGTGCAAATTTACAGCGAGCTAAGAGGAATTCATAACACTAGATATTCCACACATCGATTTCTTTCTTTCGCTCCGAAAACTAGCGGTATATAAACCTAGTGGTGGTTTCGCATTCCCTGGTTCTTGAAAGGCTTGATGCTATTTCCTTTGGGGAACGATGGGCCTATATCTTGTTAAATAGAGCGCATTCTAATGTTAAACCATGCATCATGCTTACCAAACTTGGGGTGGACGATGTAGTTATCTTGATACACGTCTACTGTGTTGTCACGAGAGTACTCCATGACCTTGTTAAAGTCAACGCACTGGTGTGGCGCTGTCTGATTGACAATGGGTCGTGCATCGATGTCAGTCCACATGTGGGTAACGATGGAAATGTCACCGCGGCAAGCCGCCCCCATTCGAAGAACCTCGAGGCAGTGCTCTGCGGAGAAAAGATAGTGATTTAGCATGTGTTTTCCTTCTAGGCTGGCGCTAGACTTACGGTTGTGCTCTCGGTTCGTCGCGATTTCTTGCTCGGTAGCGTTGGGAAAGTAGTACTCTGGGGACAGTGTTTGGTAGAGACGTTTCTGTGATAACCGTTTAGCTGTGCTCGCCCCGCCTTCAAAACAACCCCCCCCCCCCCAAAAAAAAAACACACACTACTCACAATACAGTGAAGCTCGTGGAATACGCTCAGCATACCGAGGTAACCGCCGTCGGGCAGCTTAACAGCTTCATGCTCCCGGCCCCAACGACGAACCCAGTCATTCGAGACTCTAATGTTGTTGTCTGAACGCTCCCAATCAGCGCCGCTCTCATGAAGTATCATGATGACCCACATTGCAGCAAGTCTTTCCATGCCTGGTCTACTTCGGGCCTCGGTTCTCCGGTGTATTTGCCGTGTGGCGGCCCTTGAATTGGGAAGACTTCTAGGTGTGTTTCCTCGCCAATGGCGTTTGGCGGCGCTACTCATCCTAATCAGTCTCAGAAACAACGGAATCAACATCATGAAACTCACAATCCACCAAACTGAAAACCCCAGACACTGTTTTGTTCTGGTACATGGAAACGAGGAAGATCGCCGTGTAGACGATTATCAACGCAGCGTGGAGAGTCCAAACACCAAACTTGCGCAGTTTTGATGGTTGCCGTGTCTGGACTGCTGCAATTTCAACCTCCACACTGTCTAGACTGGACGCAGAACTTTCGTCAGAATAGACTGGCGAATATTCCTTGGTTTGCCTGCCCATACTCTTCTAAAAGCTTGTTTGTTTGTGATGAAAAAGACAAAAAACTAACGAAGCCGGCAAGGGGTGTCAAGTTTGAGACGATGCAAAGTTCAGCTGACCGAAAGAGCCAGCAATCTCTCGCTATAGGTAAAAAGAGCTGAGTATTGAAAGAGATCGGGAAAACATTCCCTCGAGCACAAAAGGAAAAGATTCACTCGAGGATTACCATGAAATGCTACCTTGGCGCCTGGGAAATCTAGACTCGAAGGATTTGAGGGCCCCCCTCACCTTTCGGACCCCGCCACAATCATAGCGGCAGGGATATCCTATGGCATGATTAGTTCCCAGAGGCTCTCATCCTTCTCACCGGAAGTGGAAGGTCTGTATTCTTACGTTCGTCTTATCTTGAATTGCGTTCTGCGCTCGTTTAAGCTGACTGGGTCTAGACTTGCCCTGATTGCAAGAGAAATCGCGCCTAACGGTGCATCCGGATCCTTGAAGGAACTGACCCATAACAAGCCAGCAGTTTGCCTGCCGATGAAGTCCAAACACAACCGCATCCTCGTTCTCTGAGTCCGGGTGGCCCAATCCTATCCCATCACACACTCTCATACCCCGTTGCCACCCACCAAAGCCCTGCACGTAAGGCCTTCGATCAGATTAAGCATTAGATACCCCACCAAAAGAAGAGCCGGAAACGAGAAAGAAACAGTCAGTTCAAACCAAATCAAGGTTTATTAACTTGCAACGTTGCGGCACAGCTCACCCAACACCCAGCTTGCTGGGTATCTCGATGTCACCACACTTCTTTAGGGTAACGTCAATTTCTGCCAAAAACTTGGACCCAAATCAACTTCGTTCCCAAGAACAACACTATCTAAATGTAAAGTGAACGACCGCTGATATTAGATATATCTCGATCTTGTTACTGAACAATTACACACTTGATATTGCTTCCCCTCTGTATGCATCTTGAATCCTCCCAGCTGCGGGGCCTCGAGCTAAAGTCGAACTGGAAGGTTGGGATTGAAAGCGCAGTGAAACGCCTTATTAATGCCTAACTTAAAATAGCTAGTGGATGATGAAAAGAATCCTTCAGGCCAAATGTTTCTTATTTGACGCCGTTCAGAGGCCTTCAAAGTCGGGTTGAGCCCACACGGGTATTGTGCATCGTGTACCAGTTACAATATTCCAGACCGCAACACATATCTCGATGTCACCTGCCTTATTAGTCGACTGCGTCAGGAAGCAGGGTTTCTGCTCCTTCGGGTACTTTTCAAAATCGAAATCCTTCGGTTTCAACAGATATGTGAAGCGATGACTTGGCAGATACATATCATGAGAGATTCAGAGGGTGTCTCCATTGCCCTTCGCCTTCAAATTCGAACTCTTAAAAAACCAAACCAAGATCAAGCCTATAGAACAATAGCCCAAAATTGGATCAACTCTCTACAAAATGAAGTTCGCCATCGTTATCGCCGCCTTCACGGCCTGTATTATGGCTCTGCCTACTCTTCCTCGCTCCGGTCATGGTGAGCTTTGTGCCTCAGCTTGAACGAAGTCTCTCTACTAACTCTGAATAGCTCAGGTCAACGCCGACGAGTCCTACCTTCCCATGAAGGCTCGGGCCGAGACGAGCGCCGATGAATCCTATCTCCCTATGAAACGCGCAGAAACGAGCGCTGACGAATCATACGAGCCTATGAAGAGAGCAGAGACTAGTGCCGACGAGTCCTACTTGCCAATGAAGGTTCGTGCCGACACCAGCGCCGACGAATCCTACTTGCCCATGTAAGCTTGTGTTATTGAACAAAGCAACGAAGTGAGGTGGGAAGTCTATGCAACGAGAGCGATAGTTGAGTTTCGATGGGATGTGAACCAGGTGAATAAGGGAAACAGACGTCAACGTATTGCATGAGTTGTCGTGTGTAGGCATTCATAGAGCCACGGCCCAGTCAGCATAATATGATTGATGACACACATTCTAAATGATGGTCTGCCTTTGATTGTAAATTTGGGCGGTCGAACAGTATAGCCTGCTGCACATTCAGTTTATTTGCTGGGACAGCATGCCATGGAAATCGTAAATGCATGAGAAATGGTGAAGCAGTGAGGACAGATGTCGAAGTGTTAGACAGTCATAAAAGTCTCAGCAGACTTTGTGACTACAGATTAAGCTTATGTTGTTGCCTGTCTTGCTCGCATTAAACTGTTCAAGCCAATGACACACATAAGTGTCTTTGTAACTCCCATACCTCACCATTGTCTGGTGCACACGAGGAATTGATGGTGATGAAATACCATAAATCCAATAGATTGGTTGTTAAAATATCAGGTATCAGAAACTTGACCATGAATATGTCAAGGCAGCTTGTAGCTTGGGACGTGGAACTCGTAATATCCAGAACCGACTTCTTGTGTCTCCCCTCCATTGGGCAATGTAATGTCAGCTTTCGTGTTCGGTGGAACCTTCACCTTCAAGTGGAATCCGTTGCGATGCGCAGCATTTTGTTCCGCATTGTTTTCAAACCACCACTGGACATTGACTTCTCCGTAAGGACTAACGTATTTCGAATTGGCACTGGTGATATTGCCACCGGGAACCGGGGCGACAGCAATACGCTTCCAACCAGGGTCAGCGGGGGCAATGCCGCCAATGACTTGGTGCATCCAATTGGCGACAGAGCCGAAAGCGTAGTGGTTGAAACTGGTCATCTCGCCAGGGTTGACACTACCGTTGGTGAGAAGACTGTCCCATCGCTCCCATGTGGTAGTACCGTTCTGAACAACCTGGTACAACCAAGATGGAACGCTTGTCTGAAGGAGCATCCGATAAAAGTCTTCGGTAGCATCAATGTCTCGGAGTGCGAAGCCCAATGGAGGAGTACCGGCAAAACCAGTACCTACAAGATAGTCATTGTTCGCAACGATCTGGCGCAGCTTCCTAGCAGCAGCCGAGCGTTGCTCTTCATCTGTGTAGAGACCAAAGTTAAGAGCCATTGCGTATGCAGTCTGCGTCTCATTGGCAAGTGCACCGTCTTGGATCCAAGCATCATGAAATGCTTGGGTCAGTTTCTCTCGCTGAGCTCGGTATTTCCCCGCTGTATCATTACGGCCGAGGCTTGCAGACATATTGGCGAGAAACTCTGTCATACGAATGAGATACGCATCAGCAACCAAATGTTTCGCCGTTGTAGCGTTGCCTGGCGCGTCTGAGGGAGCCTTGGGATCAAGCCAGTCCGCGAATTGGAACGAGCTCCGGTTCCATAGACCAACCTCGTTGCGACTGATTCCGGTGTCAATCCACGCTTGAGATTGAGCGTACTGCTCTTCCAGAAGGTCAAGGTCACCAAAAGCTTGGTAGATGTTGAATGGATTGGCGACTGCAACATCACCCCAGACAGCAGCTGGCGTAGCTGGGGCTTCCGGAGGAATCGTAGGAATGGTGAAAGGTACGACCATGGAACCATTGCGTTGCATCTCGGACCAGATATCTTTGTGCCAACCTTTCCAGAAGCCGGCTGCATCGTATAGATAGTTCGCGGTTGGCGCAAAGGCGTGTGCATCTCCAGTCCACCCGAGTCGTTCGTCACGTTGCGGACAGTCGGTTGGGATCGACAAGAAATTGCCCTTCATAGACCATCGAACGTTCTGATGGAACTTGTTGAGAAGCTGATTGGAACATTCGAACCAGCCTGTTTCTTCCATGTCGCTATGAACAACAACTGCGGTAATAGAGTCTGGTGTCAACGGAGCCTCTTCGGGCCATCCATCAATCTGAGCGTAGCGGAAGCCGTGGAAAGTGAACCGAGGTTCCCAAATTTGGGTCCCGTTGCCATGCAATATGAGTGAATCTGCAGCGGTGGCAACTCTAAGCGGTCTAAGTGCAAGCTCTCCGTCCTCCAAAACTTCGGCGTGGTGAAGGGTGATATTCGTCCCAGTGCGTCCCGAGACTGTAATTCTAAGCCAACCAACAAGGTTCTGCCCAAAATCGATGATGGTCTTCCCAGCAGGAGATTTGAATATGGACTCGGGCTTCCTCTCCTCAACTCGTCTGACAGGTGGTCCATCGGGTGGAACCAACTCGCCCTTAAGTGCGGGTAATTTTTTGACAGCTAGCCAGTCATTGGCTTCGAAACCTGCAGATGACCACCCTTCCAAATTTGCTTCGAGTCTTGAGTCGTGATGTTCACCGTTGTATATTTCAGATGACACCGTAGGGCCGGTACTTGACTGCCATGTCGCATCGGTAGGTATCTTGAGGGTGGTCCCATCCTCCAGGTTAATAACAAGAAGGGAGAAAAGACCGACGGTATCGCCGTAATTGTTTCTCACACCGCCGCCGTAGCTCAGTCTTCCGGAGAACCAGCCTTCGCCGACGGCAACACCGATAGCGTTGTCTCCGTTATTCACAAGCTCTGTGACGTCGTATGTGTCGTAAACATGGCGATAGTTATATGACTGCCAGCCAGGGGCCAGTACGTAGTCTCCCACTCTCTTGCCGTTGATTTCCGCCTCGTAGATCCCCAATGCTGTGATATACAGCCGAGCATAAGTAATACTAGCATCCACAGCGAAAGTCTTTCTGAAATATATCGGGCGCTTAGGAGCGTTGACTTCAGTCTCTCTCTCAGCTGCAATAGGAATGGTTCCAGCCCAGTCGGTGGATTCCAGAAGCCCTGTTTCGACTGTGACCCAGTCAGACCAAGGGGTGGAAGGCTGACCGGGCTTGCCGTGTGCTCGGGCTCTCACACTTGCCTGTTCTGCTGTTTGGAGAGCTGCTTCGGGCCATGGGACAAGAAGGGATGCGGAAGAGTTGACATTGTGAATGGTGGGAGAGCTACTTGAGCCCCTAGCAATCTCAACGTCGTAGGCGCTTTGCTCCCAATCAACAGCGTTACCGCTGAAACGCCATGAGATACGTGGTTCCGACTCAGCAATGCCGAGGGCAAGTCGATGGTGCTCGAACGTCACCTGAGAGATTGAGACAGCCATGATAATGAGAAAACTGTAATGCGCGCGCAGGCAGGAGCTGTTGGTCGGTTGGATGGATGTGTGACGGAATCTTGTTAGACTCAATTCGCTTGAGTAGATATATACCCAAAGAATGGAGTATGCTTGTACTCAAAGCGGTGATGTCCTTCGGCTGTTTTTGACCCGTAATCTCACGCTCCTGCTGTGGCACGCTTCATCATGTTGCCAACATCCGAGTCATTAGGTAAACGAGCTCGGTCGTAACTACACCGCAGACGAGAGCCATGCTTGTTGATTAGCTCGCTACGACCCTCCAGCTTGTCCTTCAATACCCGAATTCTGGGGATCGGCCCGTTTAGCTTGCGGGGTCCCCAGACTGACAGGGTGGCTTAACACCCTCATGGGACGGCATCGTGATCGGGTATTGATCGCAACCGCATCGCTGGGCCACGGCTGGAAACCCCAATCCAGAGAACACACGTACCTATGGGATAGCGTGATATCTTGAAATTCGCCTCCACATCATTGAAGCGAGCATGGCATGAAAATTTAGCAGTCTGAGTAATGTTATGCGTAAACGGTTACAAATAGACTCTAACAAAAGGCAAGATAACCTTACTTTGTTAGGCCCTAGTCCAACCGAGGCGGAAGAGCATACAGAAACTTGCGACTCGTGAGATGAACCAAGACGTAAGGAGTACTCCAGCGGTCTTGACAACTCCGCGACCTGTCGCCGGCAGTTAGGTCAACCCCAAGCTTCCCCGCAATAAACTGTGCGGGGGAGTGCAGATGGCTGACCTATGACGTGATGATACCTGTATTGCCCTTATTAGTGTACCTGTAACTACTCATACGGTAATCCGGACTAATGTAAGAACCCTGGCAATACGCGGAACATGTAATAGTGCTGGGTATGCATTGCCAAGTAAGATTATCACAATAAGGTCTCTATGGAGGGCTTTGCCCAAAGGCCGATACTCCGCGACATCACTGCTGTTGCGTCGGCAAGACTGAAGAGCCCAATGCCCTGCGTGTTTCATTCTCGGTGGTCTCCGGACCCCAATGAAACACAACTACACTCTGCAGTCTTCCGAGCATACCTGAGAGAATCACGTTATCACGCTATGTGGCATATTTGCCGCATACCGGTACGCCTCTGCGATTGGAATTTTCCGCCAAGAATGATCCCTGCACTCTGTGCTGCCCCTGTCCGCTAAGCTCTTCCTCCGATTGCGTATAATTTCTTATCTCTTGAAAAGTTTGGCCTTTCAATGACGGCCATGTCAGAAAGTAGACTTGATGTGCAGTTGTACGATTACTTCTTGTTTGCAGAGTAGCCTGTTGATTACTAAGAAAGCTGGCTAAGGTTCGCGGAATGCTGTGCGGAAGTCCGCGGCTTGCGGGGTTTAGGTGATCCACATGTCTTTCGAAGACATCAAAACTGACGTACCTCGGAATATTTGCCAAACAGTCCGAGAGTCTCTGCGCTGTTTTACCCTGAACGCGGTCGCTTCATTGCCGCAAGCTTCTTTTGTCATCTTCAACATTTGAAAATCTCATAAGAAGCAAGCAAGATGGGGATTCCGGCAAACAAAAAGACGGTTTTGATCACCGGGTAAGCGAAAGCTTGTCAGAACCCAACATCGTTCCTGACTAGCAACATGGATCGCCCTGAGGCTCTAGTGCTGACACGATTCCCGTAGCTGCACCCCAGGAGGAATTGGTCACGCCTTGGCCAGGGAGTTTCACGCCAAAGGTAGGTGGCATCGGTTTTTAAATCTCCTAACCACTGTCCCTGCTTTGTCTCTCAAACCGTTGAAGCTGGTGCAATTTACTCACGAGAACTCGTCACTAGGGCTTCATGTAATCGCAACGGCCCGCCGACCCGAAGTTCTCAAGGACTTGAGCGACTTGGGCTTGACGACTCTGCCGCTTGATGTGACCAACGCTGAGAGCATCGCTACCTGCAAGAAGGATGTTGCGGAGCTGACCGGAGGTCGGCTTGACTTCCTTGTCAACAACGCGTAAGCCTGTCCCGAACCAGAAGTGCCCATGCGTTGAGATGATCATCATAAACCGGATATCTATCTCAGAGGGCTCTTGCGTGAAGCTTGCCCATTCGCAACAATCTCTAACAATTCGAACAGTGGTCTTACTCATACTATACCGGCTACTGACATCGATATGGACGAGGTTCGACAGACATTTGAGACGAACGTGTTTGGTGTCATGGCCATGGTACAGGCTTTTGTGCCCATGTTGATCCCAGCTCGCGGTCTTATTATTATGATTAGCAGCCTTTCTGCGATCTCGCCTTACGTCTTCGGTTCAGTGTATACTGCGACCAAAGGGGCTCTGAACTCTTATAGCCGCACTCTACGCCAAGAACTGCGTCCTTTTGGTGTCCGTGTCATGGTTTCTATGACTGGGACCGTCAAGAGCAAGATTGCGAAGCTCAACCGGGAGTTGCCGCCAAATTCCCTCTATGCTCGGGCCAAAGACATTTATACCAAGCGTCTGACCTTTTCTCAGAACAACGCTACTGTCTCAGCGGAGGACTTCGCGAAGCAACTCGTTGCAGAGGCATTGAAAGGCGAAGGCTGGCTGGGCGGCTGGCTTGGTGGGGCGAGAAATTGGTTCTGGGCTGGTGGTATGGCTGGATCGGTCTGGCTAGCAAAACTGCTCTTTGGTGAGTGGTTGTTGGATGAACTTGCCTACAGCAAGTTTGAGCTGCCCAAATTCGAGGCCATAGTTCGCAAAGAGGGTGTGAAACGATTGGACTAGTCACGAAGCGTCTTTAATATGAGAGTGAGAATCTTGTGCTGAGGAAAATATCTTATTCTGCAATTGGGCACTGATTGACTTTCCTTTGGTCCCTTAATTTTCCTCCTCGTCTCTAGAGCGAGACTTTGTGCTGCCAGTCTCTCGGTCTTCAAGACCCAAGAACATTCCCAGCATCAAAAGGTCATAGACAGCTTTCATGATTCCAGCTCCTGAGAGGACGACAACCCAGAGATTCTTCCCGGAGAGAAAGCCTGCAGACCCAATGCCCCCTGCCTGCGCCAGCGTCTTGACAATGTTGACCACACCCAAGACGGCCGTTCTCTCACCCGGAAGGACCGCTGCGGCGAGGAATGCTTGTCTCGGTGCTTGGTCCATACTCTGTGTACATGCCCGGAGAGATAGAAGAGCCATGGCGGCCCAAGTTCCCACAGGACCCGCTGAGGGTAACGGAATCATCGACAGGAAGACAGCCGAGGGCAAATGTGTAAAGACCATGGTTTTGAGCGGTCCAAGACGGCGTGCAAGTGGAAGCGCGGCGAGGTTTGAGAGAGTAGCGAGGAGGTTTGTCACCAGAAATAGTGTGCCCAGTGATCCTGGTTGGAGCGAATGAACCGTGGTGAAGAAATAGGTCAGCCAAGACGGCGAGGCCATTCCTGAGGCAAAGGAGTCGATACAGAATAGAAGGAGTAATCGAAATAAAATAGACCGAGATAGCGGAGATATGTAGGGTATCAAAGCTCGCATGCGTTCCAAAAGTGTTGGAACGGAAGGCCTGTCTTCTGTCGACCGTTGAGGACGGTTTCCTTCATTCGCCGGATCGTTAGCAAGCAGTACTTGCCTTTCCTCATTTGATCGGATAGTCGTATCACCAGGTTTCAATGGCGCTGCCTCAACACCAGAAGTGAGGCTGAAAATCAGCATCAACTTGAGGACACCGAGCCCCGCGTATATGAGGAAAATGACTCTGTATGACTCATTCTGAGTCCAAGCCTCGCTGTTCTCGAGGACTTGCACAACCCAACCGCAAGTAAGTGTGCCCAGAGCGGCGCCTGCGGTGCCGAATAGCGTGTACCAGGCGAAGATGTCGCTTCGCTTGTCTCGCTCTGTGAGCTGAGCAAGGATCGACTCTTCCACTGCGCGGAAAGGGCCAATCTCGTTGCCGCTTGGACTGATAACACCAACGATACTGGCGATGACAAGAATCCAGTAGTTGCCAGCCCAGGAGAAGACCAGACCGCTCATGACCATCAAGACAGCACCTGCTGCAAGGACCTTTCTCCTGCCGACCTGGTCGGTAATTGCTGTCAGAATGAAGCTGATAACGACATCTCCAAGGAGAGTAAGTGTCATGAACAGGCCTATTCGCTCATCGGAGAACCCAAGACTGGATAGAAAGTGAACAAGGATAAGAAAAGAGGTTCCGTAGGCGAAGAGTCGGACGAAACGCTGTAAACAGAGCACCTTGGTGTCACGACAAGACCCGACAATGGAGGTGAAGCCACTCTCTACCGCAAGTCGCGACAACCAATGGGCCGTTTGGGACGGCATAGTGGTTGGATGATTGCTTTTTACAACGAGGAAATTATTTCGATGCAGTCGATCTTGGAAAATGGATAGCCAGATTTATAAGTCAAAAGCGCATAGGTCTATAGTCTGCTCGGATTGCATGCTCGGATTTATGGTAGGGGTCGGAGCCAACGGAGCTTACGTCGGCTAAAGAGCAAAAAGAAAAAGCTTGCACGCTAATATGGTGAGTATCACGTGTTTGAGGCCGCTGAAGGGACGCTAGACGATACCGGGATGCTCACAACCGTTTAGAAATTTTGGGGCATACAAGGATTTGTTCAGCAGAGTCCTCGATTGGTGCTGATGACAACAGCTCGAAGTTGCCGAACATCCGCCCTTGAGTCCTCAATCCGAGTCCTTAATCTGTGGGCACCGTAGTGAATCACCCTGGGCCAAGCCCCGAAGCAGCCAGTGTCTCGCAACATTGCTGCAGAGAATTCACTGCCATCTCGGTTCTCATTGTCCATGACCTTCCTGACTGGTACGTCTTCAATCATGAAACCCATCCACAGTGAAGTGTCCGGCGTTGTTTGCTTAGTCTTGTCTGCACTAGGTTATGCACTCTCGAAAATTCGGCCAAGTGGTGCACGTCGCGATGCTTGAACAGGATAAACTAGTTACTTATAGGCACACTGGATAAAATAGTTGCACGATCATTGATTTCGCACCACGACTGGTGGTAGTACTTAGAGGAAAAAGAATGACGTTGTGAAAGCTGCAAATAAAAGAGCTAGATAGGGGGAGAGGTCGAGCTCTCAGGATCTCAAGAATGAAAGGAGAAACATTGGACGTGTGCGCAGTAAAGTTCAAACTACCTAAAAACCAATCCCTCTGGACCAACGTAGGGATGAAGGTCACTGTTCAATCCCGGCGGCGAGCCCGAAGCGGATAGGCTATCCTGAAGTATAGTTTTCTCCACCTAAGAAGTACCTACAAGTTCCAGCTGGCGAACCCGAGTGTGACCACGGGACTAACAAGGCATAATCAAACGATGCTCCTGATAACATAACAAAAGCATTAGTGACGTTTTGTTTGAAAGGGCTAAAAAAATTTAAATTTGCATACACAATACATTCATGGAACAATTATTCAACCATTATATCATCAGTAAATATAGACTCTACTTGTAGGTCGTGGAAGATTCGTCATCAGAATCAACCTTTTTGCTGGCCTCGAAACCCAAAGTCGATTCCACCCAATTCTCAGCCTTCCCTCAGATTTGTATCAAAATACATGGATATTTTCAGAATAGTGGCATCACTGCCGGATTCCTGTAGTCCACCGCACCATCTGCGCATTCTATCCTGTCCATACAGGTTCCGAATATACGATCCCACAACCTCGTGTGTTTGCCGTAATTCCCGCTACTCTTCCAGCCCTTTCGATGATGCAGATCATGGTCTTCTAGAATGAGTTCACCTCCGACCAACTTTAGAGGCCATGCGAATGGACTAGGACTAGTGGCATACACACGGAGGCCGCTATGTCCAATCAACTCGGTGAAGATTACATATTCCTGACAGTACCACCACTCATAAAAGCCCATCGGGAAACCGAGCAGCTTGAGTGTAGCCCAGGTCAAGAAGGGAATCCCAGCAATATCCCAAAACTCCTGTTCGCTGTCCGCAAAAAGGGTTAACAATGGGTTTGGGTGTTTCGTCAAGTGGTGGGTCCGGTGGTATTTCCACAGGAAATCAACCTCATGCATTACCCGGTGATACCAATAAAACCAAAAGTCCAGCACAACGCCATACAGACCGATTTCCACTGGGAGAAGCTTCCAGTTAATCGTGCTTGGGGCCTCGTGACCTCGGTATGCTAATATGACCGCCATCATCGCCCTAAAAGTCGCGGTAGAGATGAGGGACTCCAGGACGGTTTTGACACTATTGTCTGGCACACCGTCACGCTCGTGTTTGTCGCCATCGAGGTAACCATGACGCTGGCCAACTGCTCTCATGATGTTGATTTGATGAATGGCGATCACCTTGATGGCGACGCTGTAGAAGATAAAGGCAGCGACCGGATGGATGTTGTATCCAGTGAAGGAGACGAACGCCTGATGAATGAGTAGAGGGACCGTGGCGTGCAGAAGAATCCATCGATGGAACTGCCAGTGTGGCATGTAAGGGACGGCATCCCCTTTAGCGTGAACGGGTGGCGGTTGATTCAACTCATCATGGTATAGACCAAGTCGCTCGATGATCCAATTTCCGATTTTCCAGTCACGTCTGTCGCCTCGTCTCCATGTCGATTTCATGGGATTTTTGCTTTCGATCCTTATAGTCGGATGAGTGGTAGTTGTGGTAGTCGACGACATCTTGGGCAAATACGAATAATTGCTTTACACTGCCTTGTCAAGTTGCTAAGCAATTCAATTCCTGATGAGTTGGGCTTTTACGTACAATATATACTTTCATCTGATTACGACCCTCGGCAGTGTTGTCTTCACGTGTTTCAACGAAGCTGTGAGGTAAGCTTGGACAACACCTCAGACCCTGAAGGAGCATTGACAATCTTTGCCACCTTTTGATGTTGACATAGCCGACCGTATTACGCTTTGGCCAGGATACATACGTAGAACATTGGCTGTGGCCGTAATGTTTCACAACTTCCGAGGTTTATTGTGACACTGCTGCAGCATAAAATGCTTGTAACTAAGCGAAAGCGAAAAGCCTCCAAACAGCCGAGGTTGTTGTTTTGCAGCAAACGTTTGCCAGGCTTTGCAAATCGGTGTCAATTTTCGGAAGACGCGCCGAGTCTGCTCATCGTATGACCTTTCATAGCGACAGTAAACTGCCTCGATCGTACATTACGATAGATAGGAAGAATGCCAAAAGCCGCTGCGCAGTTTCGTCCCGGCATTTAGATGCCGTGGCAGAAGTGCTGCACACAAATGATTGAGGCTTGACGGTTGTGGAATAAGTCCGGGCACCCCCATTTCGTACACCCCCTCATTTTGTACAGAAATTTCGCCACTACACATCCTACCTATACAAACAATATCACCAACACATCCAACCATAACATCAAATATTAATTATTTAAAAAATACTAGTGTTATCGCTATACCAAAATATACTAAATATAACATTTAGTAAGCTCTATAGGATATTAAGGGCAAGATAAGCTTATAGTAAGCATCTCATACCTAGGGAATATTTGTAACGACTATTTTTTTGCAAATAAAGGGCTATATACTTAAAAGGGTATCTAGTAAACATCTATAGCAATTATCGCTTATATAAGAAAGCCACTTAGTTGGCTGGGCCTTAACCCAGGGTACTCTTGGCCTTGCTCCAATACACGCCTAACTACGCGCTTTTACAGCCCAGATATTAGCTACTAGCAACAACGCCAGACCCCTTAGTAAGCAATAAATAGAGAGGTTTTTAAAGTATAACCTACAGCTAAAGACATTAAAAGGTAAAACAATTAAAAGTCTATATATTAAGGCTATTACTAAAGAGATACTTAGAATATACTTTAACTTATATACTAATCTAATTATTAAAATAATATTTCTATAAAATATATAAAATATAAATAAGACTAAAATAATAGAAGGCCAAGGAGTTAATAGCTTAGTTCTTAGGTCTAACAAAATAAAGAAATCAATATATATATAATATCTAGGTTTTAGATTTTAAACAACAATTATCAAATATATATCTACTACAAGAGCAATACTTTAGCCACTTATTATCTTTAAAGGCAAGTATATATAACAGTAATAGTTTCCTAAAAAGCTCTTAGCCTATAGGACTTAGTCCTTTAAGATAACTAAAAATAATTAAATTAATAATACTATAGTAATTTACTAGTTAATTAACGTCTTTAACTCTTAGATAAAGCTAAAAAAGTTATATAAAGATATAAAAAGACTTTTAATTATAAATAGCTATAGGAGTTACTACTTTAATAAGTTTATATAAAAATATTTTTAATATAAGATATATATAATCTTTTTACTAGCCTATTCTTTCTATATAACCTAACCTTTAAATATAACTATCTTTAGTCCTCTTAAAGCAGCCTATTATAACAAGGTTAATATTCTTTATACCTTAATAGACCTTATAAACCTTAAAAAACAGAATTTCTTTTAATACTATAATAAAACATATATTAAAGCTATAAAAAGTATAATAATATAAGCTAAATAAAAAGTATATAGTATTTATTTACTAAAACTAAATAATATGCTTAAAAGCTAATAACTACTCTATAACTTATAAAGAAAACAGCAAGCAACTAAAAAAAACACCTTAGTTACCTTAAAGCCTAAAGATTAATTAGTAATAAATACACTAATAACTCCTAAGTAGTTAAGAGACTTAAAGAGGTCTACTTTAGTTAAGCTACTAGGTCCCAAGGTCAATAGCCTACAGGGTTACCTACTTTTTAATAAGCTAAGAAAAAGCCTAGATATAAAGAATATCACTATTATAGATTATAAGAGACATATTAGTCAACTATAAGAGATTATAGATATCCTTCAGCCAATCACTAGAGGCAAAGTAACAGTAGGCCTTAATAAGCACTTTGTTAAAATAAACTCCATCTATAAGTCCAAAAAATAAGCAAAAAAAATCACTTTTAAGGCTATAAAAACAATAAAACTACAAAAGATTAAGTTTCTCTTTTTTTAGCATAAATTTTTATTAGTAAAGTAATAGTAAATATAATGTTATAGTAATTAGCAATTGATACCCTCCTGGTTGCAGATTACTGTACGAAATGAGGGGGTGTACGAAATGGGGGTGCCCGGACTTATGCCAGAACCTCAGACTAAAGTTTTGGTAGGTGATACTGAAACCACAGACGTAGAACGCGGCTGATGATCTTTTGTTTGTTTGTTATGTGTTCCCTATTGTCGTATAGGTTACTTTCTTATGTCTGTATATAGCCTCTTCACGTGCTTTGATTGAAATTACAGTACAGATTCAAATCTAAAAACTAAAGATGATAGGCCAAAAGAAGAATGTTCTAGATCGTGCCACACTGGGCAATCTCCTGGCTCTCCAGGGCATCATCCCAGTTCGACCGTGGGGAAAGGTTTCTCTTACGCGATAGACTCGGTCCAACTACGTAAGAAAAGATGGACTTAGAGTTATTCTTAATCTCCTGGTACGCTACAGAAAACTAGTCATAGCAGAGAACGTAACCTTGCTTCCATCAGAAGGGACGAGTAAGAACAGATCGAAGATATGCAGAAAGATCACTAATTAAGGGTAGTAGAAGATTCGTCCGTGATCTCTTCGTGGTAAAACACCCATGAATTTGGCTTTCTTGTTCAAACAATCTTACAATATTTAGCAAAAAGCCACAATATCAGTGTTTCTGGGTGGTCGACTAAAGTTCCGGCAAGGAAAAAGTGTTGGCAAAGTAAGTTGTACGGATATGACCCGCAAGTTCCTTTCTAGTCTGGGTTGGCTTTTTCTACAATAAAGAATACATAAAATGGCAACAGTCTGATCAACGCGTGGCAAGGCCGGGAGCAGAACGGAACGCCATCCAGGCTCAAACGGAAAGGCAGTCACAATTTAAGGCAACTCACTCAGAAACTCTCTTTCCCAATGGCAAACAGCAATTTGATGCAGTTCCAGACTTAAACAAACAGGCGAAGCATTTCCGTAAGATAGCAATTGGTTCGCACTATGTGTGCGTAGGACTGGTTGGCATCCTAACTTATAGATACCCCGCCTGTGATGATTCTGACTTGTGAAGTATTAGGGTTAAGCCAAGGTCATGGAACCGTTAACCCAGCCCCAGGTCCTCATCGTAATATTGTGTATCAAGCGATGACAGTTACACGCTTGCTGCTGCAACCTTGCTAACCAAGCCAAGGATTCCTGTGGCAGTAATTGCTGAAGCCGACCTAGAAAAACCCTCTTCGAAAGGAAGACGCTCTTCCTCTGCAAGTTGTGAGCTAGATTGCCTATACAAGAAAATTAGACGCTTACCAAAGAGGACTCTAACCCATTCAGTCCTAGCATTACCATCATCCAGATTTCCAAATATAGAAAGATAGAGAGCAGTCTCGATGAAGCTGAATTGAGCACCATCGGCTGTCAAGTTGAATTCTGGGTTGGCAGCGGCAGCAGCCTGAAGACGTGCCACTCTAGCTCTTGCTGCTGTAGAAATTGAGATGGTCGAGTTGGAGAAATGAGACGCGACAGAGTCCCAAATACTTCTATTGAAAGAGTGATTATCGCCGAAATAGATGTCATTGCGGCTTAGACTGCCGTCGTGCTCGATGACTGATGCGGTGCTGTCAGCTCAAAGCTGTCAAGTAAGGAAAAACATTACGGCTTACTCCCGTGGGCATTGAGATCGTCTAGGTTGAACGTGGAGTTATTTCCAGTGGTGGATGTGAGAAGAGCTTTTTGTCCAACCAGAGTGGTTGCAGCAGGATCTAAGTTGACAGCGGCGGTGAAACCAGTGATGAGGTCTGCAAGGGAAACATTTAGCCCGCTGCGAGCCAGATACCCATGGTTGGCGAGAGCGTTAACCATGGGACACGGGCTGCGGCCTGATGCCTGTCAGCAATGAGCACAGCATCAATGCATTTTGAGTGTGACTTACGGTCATCAACGGTCGGTGCAGACCAGCCGTTTGCGCCACGTCGGACCGCAAATGCATCTGCCGTAAAGGCGAGAGACAGTGCGAGCGTTGACTTGAAAAGCATAGTGAATAGACAATTGATTCACAGAGTCAAAGGAATGGACCGCCTCATGGGTAGAACGAACGACGAAAAGTTGTGCGAAGGACGAAAGGAGCCAGCAAATAATCTTGCAATATAAGGAGAGGGACATGTTTAAGTCCTACAGTTGTATCAAGACATCCAACGCGATTCATGATCCACTGAGGCTTACCAGCTAACGGCATTGCCGATCAGCTTGCACGATTCCTCATTTGTGTCCAAAGCCGTCCAAAGTGCCCAATCTAGTGTATAATTGCGTGATGTGAAATTGTCCTCTGCCCCTGGATGGATTTGCGGCTAGGGACACAGGACGGAAGATGCTCCCGATCGGGAGATCTGTCGGAGGCTTGGCTTCAGCGGGACTTTCCCGACCCTTACTTGACCCACAACAACCAATGATAACAATTTTGAAAGTCATCAATAGTGTAGTGTGTACCTCGGTAACATCGGGGTGATCCTCTTTACGGGCTGTCCCCGAGCACATCTTCAGACGTCAATGCGCAAAACCATGCCGGCGGCATCCTAGATACCCCGAGTCCTGTGTGGAACAATTGCCTTACGATTCCGATTACATCTATGCCGAAAAGCAGTCAATAGGCTGATATAGATTGAGTGTTAGGGGCGGGCCGACTTATCGTGATTGTCTCATTGAGGAGATGAAGAGGAGAGTGTCGCTTGACAAAAGATGCTTATAAAATGCAAGGTTGATGAGAAAGGGAGGGGGGAATTTGTACCCTTGGTCACACTTGCTTTCCCAAGGAACAACAAATTTTGTGGACACTATTAAGACTGATTATGATTATGATTCTATTTAAAATACAGCATGCACACGTTTTAGAAGAGAATAATTTCGAACCGCGAGATCTACAACAGCAACGACATAGGAATCTCAGCACATAGTCGCATAGACTCTGAGAAGTGACTAAACAGCAATGCTATCCAGAGTGACGATGATATCTGTGATCGTGTTGATGGTCTTGGTAACGGAGAGAACCAAGGCAAGAAGCATGCTGCGCTACTAGATAATGTTAACGAATACAATCTGCAAAAAAGATGTTATAAGGCAGTTAGTGATGCAGTATTCCAAAGTTTCATGTCAATGAGACCTGAGAAAGATATCTGACCGCAAGAATTTTGTCAGGAAATGCGTATATAGGATCTAGATATCAGCGATTTCCTCACATCTAGTAACAACTAACATGCCTGCACCTGGTAACCTTTGAAGATTCTATAACGTCATCTGATGAAACTGATCCCATAGAAAAACTGGCCTGGAAACCCTAGACAGAAAGATTTAACCCAATCTGGATATAATGGGTTTTCAAGTTTATCATTTTTTAAGTTGAAGATCTGATGAACGCATCTGTTATCACCCTGTCTTCGAATGCAGTGATCTATGGTCAAGAACTCTTCGCTCATCAATCCAGCTTGTTAGCTGTCAGTGTAATTCCAGGTCCAAAACGATCAAAGAATTCCTTGGCACTACTCGGGTCTTCCAGGTCACAGACTGATGGGTCGTGCTGTTGACTTTGCGTGCCATTTGAAGACCTTATATACTCTGCATCTAGCTGCGTCAAAGCTTCAATAGACTTTTGCACAGTTTCGTCTGTTACCTGTCCGCCAAAGTGTCGCGAGCGTCCTTTGAGGTTGAGTTGCCTGGCTGTTACCAGATCATTGACTGTGGAGACTGAAAATGCGTAACTATTGTCTGCCAGTGTGATATCTTCAAAGACGTTACTTCGCTCATTGGCAAGCTCTCCGGCTTCGGACACAACTTTAATGCACTGGCTAATGCTATCCTTTGTTTGCTGGAGCCGTGCTAATTGTGTGCTGACCGGTTCGGATAGCACCTCCTCCAAAGACATGGCCTCCATCTGGCTGCTAATCTGAGCCTCGTGGGTCTGCAAGCGAGCCACGAGAGACAGGAGAGGCCCCTTGACTTCGCTTAGACCAGTTTTGATGTGTTTGTGTGCCGATGGACGTCTTGAGAACTGAGCATGCTCCTTTGATGACGATTCAAGTTGCATGATCTGAGCAGACAGCTGAGCACACATCTTGAGACCTTGCTGGGTGGTCTCCTTTTCCTCAAGAATTGCTTGCCACTCCATAGCGACATCATCGATAGCTGTGATATCTCCGGCTTTGAGACGATCAATTTTCTCTTGTACGTCTTTTAGGTGATTGTTCAGGTCGGTTGTAGTGTCGGAGATCATGTCCTTGTAGTCTATGAGGACCTCGGGTGATATAGCGGCAATACGTCTACAACAGTTGCAGTGTAAGTAGAAGGCCCGAAGAGAGACAAGTAGCCCCCGCGAGGGTGTTAATCTAAATTCACTTACAGGTTTGCATTTGCGAGAGCAATGTTAATAGTGGACTTGTGTGCGGCTAGCATAGCTCTAAAGTCGTTGATGTCTCCCTGGAGATATTTCTGCGTAACCCAGTCCCGCACACTTGAACGTGATGTTTCATTCGAATGTTTCATACATCGAGCGATGATTCTGCTATACTCATCGCACGCATTGCCGCAGCGTTGGAGCGGTCGCTCGAGGGAGTGGAAGTCCAGGTTTGGATGATTAGCCATAGTCTCTAGCAAGGAGCTCAAGACCCCAGTCAAATCGCTGACTTCTGCTTTGAGAGCTCGGGCGTCCTTGTTCTGGCTTTGAAAGCTGCGTATCATCCCATGGAGCGCCATGCAGGACTTGAGGGCAAAGCCACCCACAGCCAAAGCACTGGTTGTTATTGTGACCGGGTCCATGATGTAGCACAAGCTCCGAAGTGCTGACTGCGAGTGTGGTTCTGAAGGCGAGTTACCGGCGGCAGAAGTCCTATCAGGCTACAAGCAATTCGTCGAACGGCTGGCCAACGTCTTTTGTCAACAAGTTGAGACGATTAGGCCCGGGGTGGGATGTCGGCGACTAACTAATCTAGTGGGTCGTCGCCTAGTGCACACAGGTGAGGGGTAAGAAGCTGCCGGATGAAAACGGTCCGTGCTCTGTGGCCCCCTTGGGCGCCAGCGCCGATGCCGACCATGGTGCCGAACCGAAGATGAGAGAGTTGATCCAGCTCAAGTGTGTTCAGTGAGTTTTCTATGGGGATATTGTTATTGCTATCTGTATCATTCATGAAAGCCTATGTTTTTCATGAGTTTTGTTGTTGGTATTTTGTTCATCATTGCTGTATTTTTGAGGATTTCATTGAACGCAGCACGTGTGATTCTGATCTTATTTGCAAAGGCGTTGATCGATCTGGTTTCTTGTGAATCATGCTAGTCCCCTTGCTCTTGCTTCCAGCAATCACACCTCACACTGCTTGGAATAGCAGCGAACCTGGTGATGTATAGTTCATGTGTCGGCAGGAGCGCGGTGTGTGTAGCGGGGTACATCGCGCATCGGGTTCAGTAACCGCGGCTAAACCTTCTTTTGCGCTACTGCCGAAACGAGAACCTCCCTGCTCTGGTTTGCGGAATGGTCCTGAAGAAATGGCGATGCTTACCACTTCCCCAAACAGGTATGTTAGGTCTGGGGTATTTCTGTCACTTACGATAGTTTAACTACATGAACAAGATTGGCAAACATAGTGTCATATCAAAAATCCCACTGTATGCCTATTAATTGCTTTCAAAGGGCACTCGACGACATCATATTCCCGACCGTGACAGTCCTGTCATTAAGCACTGAGCTAGTCGTCCGAGAAAGGGGTTTTTCTTCTCAAACACTCCCCCCATAATCTCTGTTGCCTCTATCACTTCAGCCTGTACCTGCATAGGACTGTCAAAGTTTGGAGAAGACTTTCCTAATTCAAGTCCAATTGCAAAATGAGATTGAAGTACAGAAGCCTTGAGCTATTTAAACTCCCAGTCCGCCCAGTTCGACCCAGCTGGAATCAAGACTTTACTACAGCCCTCGCTCCTTGACAAGATCCTTGATATGTTTGATCAGTAATGGTCCAACTTTATTCGCAATGAACTGATCGCCTTGCTCGTTGGGGTGCACGCCATCCTGTTTGTTCATGGCAAGCGTATAGCCAGCAGCCGTGGAGCAGTCGGCGAGCAGAATGGGGGAATTGGTAGAGTTCTGAGAACGGGCCCAGTTCGGGATCTGCGCGTTGACAGCATTGACTCCGTTCATGTTGTACGAGAGGGGAATCAGTTGATCGACAATAATCTTCATCCGAGGGTTGGACTGCCTCATCAGTCCAATAATCTTAGTGTAAGAGGCAACAATATCGTTCGTCGCCCGGCCGTTCGAGACGTCATTTGTGCCGAGCATGAACTGAACAATATCCGGCTTGAATGTGCTGAGCCAGCCCTGAATATACTGGTTCGCTATGTTGATGGACAGCCAGCCAGAGTGGCCTTCGTGATTGAGGTCGAACGAGCCTAAGTGAGCCCGGCAGCTGGCTGGGTTGTTGCTCATGGTGCCAACGAAGTCCACCTTGCTGGCAAGGTTCTCTTTGACCAACATATCCCAGACCAACGCTCTCCAGCATGTAATCTCCGTGATAGAATCACCTAGCGGCACTAAAAGTACACAAGTAACCAATGTCAGCTAGGAGTTTTCGAAAGCCATTGGAACTAGGACTTACTGATTTTGATCTTGGTTTGGGCAACGACGGAAACCGCCAAGCCGAAGTAAAGCAGAATCTTGGAAAGCTGCATCTCGGATCCAGTTGGCGCCTTGGGCTTTTGGAAGAGTGCTGTTTAGAATGAGTAGAACAAGAACAACAATAGTCCATAGCAGAAGATGGTAGGAGAATCTGATATTCTTTATAGAATTCAATAAAAATAGTACAAGTAGCCCATAAACACCTCTTTCTTGCCATCCGGCTATTGTGTCTTGTCGGCAAATTTGACTCTACTATGCAGTGATACGGAGGCTTCAGTTCTGATTTGTTTCTGTTGAGTTATATTGTTACTCTCCGCTCTAGTGAATTTAATCCACCAGTCTGAAGCTTCAACGCAAGGTCGCCTCGGCATACAGCCATGGATCGACGCCGGGGAGTAATTCCACCAGTCTGAGCCTTAACACATGCTTCCTTCGAGCGACATGTCAACGGCAGAATTGTTCAGATTATATTGAATAAGTTTTCTTTCTGCTTTCTTGATTCATCTCTACTGCTTTCAAATATTTGTCACTTTAGGCAAAAGTCCCTTTTGAAACCGCTAGGCTATTCATTGGGTGAGGGGCATTCCTCATCCACTCTGAATCGCGTTACTATCCGAGCAGCTCGTATCGCGAACTCATTGTTAGCGGGACAATGCCAAGAAAGCCAAGCGGTTGGTTCGTGCGGTACTTGTTACGACCTCCCATTCTCTGACATGAGCAGCATGTCACACACGCCGAGAATATTAGAAAGATGCATATATAACGGAGCAGGGTCTTGCTTACTACTTTAGTAGATCTCTTTTGTCGATAGAAAGAACGACTATATGCCTGTTAATGAAAAGTGAGAAACCTTTAAGTCGCTAAGGACTGTTATTGTTTACAGACGAATTCTGGTGGACTAATGTTGTCAGAATATTGTGATATTTACCACAGTTTAGGAACATGCAACAGTCTAGCCAAGAGCTTTAGTGCCATGGGTTCAAGCCCGGCAAATTGGTGTACTACGTTGAGCCATAACATAAGTCATCACTAACGTCCATAGACACGTGTGAAGTAGGCGCTATGGCCCGATTAAAGATGAGACAAACATTTGCTAGCTAAACAAATACCACTAATACCTAGTCAAACCCCCTTGATTCCCAAAAATAATATTTGCTCAACTGAGGCCTCACGAACTTGTTCTCAAAAACTTCCATAAAGTAGCTATAGAGAAGAGAAAGATCATTTTAATGATTCTTCGTCACTTCAAACACTGTGTGGACTACTTCAGACAATATTTGATGCGTGCCTGAGAATCTACGCTTGAATGATAAAGTTCCGATCAAGAGGCGTTCTCTAATGGCTTGGGCGCAGGAACAAAACAGTACACTAGTAGAAACTTTCACCTATATTTGATTGGACAGAACAACGTTGAATGATCCAAGGGGATTGAATCACGTGCATGTAAGTTGGGATAGAAGAGAAACGCCTGTGCAGTTTGTCAAAATAATCGCAGTATTGGCATTGTTATAGAGAATGCTTCCACTTGCATTCACAAACCTTGTCTAATATTCGGAGCACTTAGAGAGGTTTCGTTTGTTAATCAACATGCCTGAGAGCTATTCTACCAGAGCTTTATCCATGTAAGAAATTCCGCTCAATGCTCTGCGGCCATGTCTCGGTTCCATTCGTTGACCACAGACGCATAGGGCTACACTTAGCTGAGTCCTTGAAGAAACTCCATTGATTACAAAGAGCAAAACTGTATCTATCTAATCTACATGTAGGATACGTCCGAGACATAATGTATGTTCCATTCAATAAACATATACTTAGAATGGAAAGATTGAGAAAGACGTGTGTTGAAAACCTTGATCTGCACTATTAGAGGTAGAAGGTGGGTTTCCTAGAAACTATGTACAAGACAAAGAGTCGTCTCTTATATGTTACTGAGTAACACGAGTCGTGTGATAAGTAGCTGGCTCAGCTACCTGGGCCACTATCTCTTCCGAGAACATATGTTCACGAAAAGATATCTGTAGGAAACAACTAAGACTTTCTTTTAACTACTTAATCCCAATCATGAGGAGAAATATACATGCTGGGGTTCTAACCTGTACGGAAGCTCTTTAAATTTAACTATGTTGTGAGAATGTCTGTTAGTCACTCGAAACGGCCGAGCTAATTTGAGCAACCAACAGCAAAAGTTTGTATTCTTGGGACCTATGAATACTGTCCTTAGAGACAATTGATTCCGACATTTTTAGAAATAGAGCAACAGTCGGCATCGCACTCTTCCAGCGTAACACCGTTATTCTGGCAAAAATTTGCCGCCTCTGTGCCAGGGATAAATGTTCCAGCTCGTCCAACTCCATTACACTGCGATATTTGATCAGTGAACCTTCTCAAAACGAACAGCAAGTTATCCTAAAGAAGTGGCTGCCTGTACAATAATAATTGATCTACAGAGTTGGCGCCACCTGTACCACCTTTTTGCTTAGCACACGCGTCCTGGTCTCTCCAGCAGCAGTCCGTCGTGGAGCCGCTGCTGCTCTTGCACTAGAAAAGAGTCAGCAACCAAACTCGATAAGACTGATCTGTAAGAGCCGGGTAAGTGCAAGGGGAAGGAACGGATTTATTGCTTAAGGCACCAGAGGAGGGAAAATCTTTGCTAGCCAGGTGCCAGTTTTATCTCTAATAGATGCAAGAATCTGTGGATGGCTTGGAAGATAGGAAAAGGTAAAGTATTGATAACTTACCTTAGCAGATGCTATAGCAGCAAGACTCAAGGTCGAAAGAATGCTGATAGCGAAGGTTTGGATGTACATATTTGGAACTGAACTTGTGAGATTGTTGACTGCAGCCATTGGGATATGTGGTGCCAGATAATCCTGCGCGGTAATAAAGTTTGAGGTAACTAGTGGTTATCTTAGATAGAGGTTATGCATTAACATTCGGAAATGGCCTCCTTTAAATACTTGCGTTCCTGCGATGTAGTCTGTTTGTCAATAGAAAATGAGGCTCAGCCAGACTCTTATTAACGTGTGATGTTGGCTACCGCATGCAAACCGGCTGTCGTTGGTGGATGAGTCTATATGTATAGCCTTATGTGAAGTCTTGGTAAACTTTCACAACCCATGCGTTACTGTTCCTCGAGGCTCTCTTACTGGGCCCGACTTGGTCTACAATGGAGAGCCATGAGCTAGTAGGCAATCAAAACAGCGACAACCCAACCAGTAAAGTTTGACACGCGCAGGCGCCAAGGAATGGATTAAAATAGGTAAGTGAGACCAAGAATTGTTGACATTATGTTTATTATTTCTGGTTTTGAACAAATTAGTATCTTGCTTAGGATCACTTGCGTTGAGTTCACTGTTGTACTCCACTGCATTTGGCACTGCTACTACATCTGTGCATACGATCGTCTCGTAACGTAGATCACTTTTGCCTTGATTCTTAGCGACAAGAGGCTACCTTACGTACAATTGTAGTCGCTCGACTTGGAAAAGACTTTGGAAAACGAATGGGATGTCATTTCATTTCGTCAGTACCACACTGCCCAAATAATCGGCAGATCAGTCCCTCGTATTTATTTGATCCAGAGAACTTGCCGCTATATTAATCTAGCTACAGTAATGGTATTTAAAAAATTATAGATTGCGTCTTTATGGAGTCTAAATCAAAGTTTGATATATTATACTATGTTGGGTTGAATTTACTTCTAGCTGTTACTTCTCTTCTATAATAGCTATCAGCCCATTTCGAGAGATTGGAGAGCATTAGGTCATTGTTAAGCTAACATTTAGTAACAAGCTTGCTCCATTAATAAGGTTAAGCTTCAAATGCCCGTGCCGATGGTCAGTAGTCTTCTATGTAACAAGTAGATTAGTTTTGAGATTTTTACTTGCCAGTGTTTTTGTCAAGCCTGATATAGGAAATGGATATTTCATGTCAACATATCACATTCAACCTAACCTCAACATTTCATTATCAAAGGATACTATGTTTATCTGAACTCTCAGTTAAAATCTTGAGAAAGATTCATTGGAATGGCAAATGTTGTCCCAAAAGCGTGTGCTGAAGAACTTCTGGGGCCTCGCTAAGACTTCAACGTTTAGAAGTGTTGAAGGAAAGGGTAACAATTGACTTGTGCGTAGGAACTGATTCCAAAAAACACACACATAAATTACAGCAACGTCTACTATGATATTTGCAGAAAGTGCTCAACAGACTGATATGTCCGTTGCCATGAAACCAGGCGTTGAAGTCTAGTGAATGAAGATCTGTCTGTTATAGAGGATTCATTTATCATCCAGGCAGCACAACATGCATATATGGGTAGGGGGCAGACTTTACAGAAAATATCTCTCTAACGCGGTATACATGAATGAAGGAATCGCCATGGAATATCCACGTAGGTAGATGCCACTGAAGACCGGCTTAGAGTTCCAACGCCATGTCACCAACCCACTGCTATTACTCCTTCAGCACCGTCTAGTTGTTCTGATATGTCGCGCTGGAAGGTGAATGTTTCAGTTATATATCAGCATAATGATTCTTTCTCTCTTCGAGCATGTAGGGGATATAGAAATCATATCCTTTTATCAACTTGTGCCACTCTTCCTCTCTGGTGAAGGGGACGGGCGAGCATAATCCCTATTCCTGTAAGCCGTGAAAGTTCAGAAAGAAGAATGGAGTGTCGTTACTATTCAGAAACTGGCTAAGGTGATTGTTTACTTGGAAAGAGTTGATGAAAACAAGTATGATATAAGGGGTACGAGGCCTCCCAATCATCGGTAAGTATGGAGGGCGGCGCTCGAAGCTTAGTCTGACAGAAATATATTTGCACCATCCACCGGCTCACTAAGGGAAAGACATGGAGATCATTGTTCATGATGCAAATCTTAGGTTGGTTGAACTGGCCTATTCTTCCATCTACCCATCTACCCACATAAGTACACGGGCGTTTCAGTGGCCCAATATGCATACAAGTTCTTATTACCTTTCCGATCAATTCTGCCCTGCCTTCGTCTCTCTTCTTTTTGGTCCTTTTCCTCCTGTCTGTGTTGTGCTGCTAATATTGAGCGCTGCTGAGATGTTGGCAGGGTTGCCAAGGCGCTTCGGTCTTTCACACTCATGTTGGCTAGCTGATGTGTTGCCAATGCCCTTTCTCGTTTCTCCCTCTTTGACAAAAGTCGTTCGTCGCGTTTATCCAAGTCAAGGCTCTCTGTCTGCAAACCTTCCCCATCGACAGGTTCTACCAGAGAATCTTCTAGTTGTGAAACCATGGTCCGAGGTCGGCGGCGCATCTGAGTGGATGATGGCCCCACGTTTACTGATGACTGCCTCGATATAATTTTACCTGAAGGTAAACGAATCGAATCTTCATCAACAAGCAGCGGCTTTCGGTTCGAGCTGTTCACTGTCTCCTCTTGATTCTTCTCAACCCCATCGCCCTCAACCAGACTCTTTGCATCGTCCTCTGGCTCAGAGAAATCGTAAAACTCGGAAAATTCCGAATCTTGTTGTGATATATCAAATTTGCAGTGACCTTTTCCAGTCATATGTTGCTGTACAGCTTGTACAGTAGCCCTCTCTGTTCCGCATTGTATGCATTCTCGATATTCAAAGATAACGAGGTGCAAATATTTGAAGAGTGTCTCAAGATCGACGACTAGATGTTGTTGATATGGAATAAATAAGCCGTGTGACTTTTGCATGTGTATTACACTCTCGCCGAAGTTTGGTGATGGTTTAGGACAGAAGAGGCATTGCCCAGGTGTAAACGAATGCATGGTCGCGTGAAGAGGGTCGATTGGCTCCTTCAGAGAGATGGTTGTAGAGTTGATTTCCGGGCTCGGTGATAAGCTCATTGGTAGCGTTGAAGGCGGCGTAGTTGTGGTTAGGGTCGTAGTTGTTGTCATCACCAGCATACCAATCGATTGAAAGGAGCGTTGTTTGGAAATGGGTTGTGCTTGAGTCTGTGGTTCTCCTTAGGCGTTGATGGTTTTACAATTGTCTGAGTGGCATGGGACGGATTGCACTTCTATCTTTTATAAGTTTTCTGTGACCAGCACGGCTGTTGAGCTGGCATACAGCCACGTTACTTGATAACTTAGGTTCGTTTGGTCGATTGGCGATGGTTTAAGGGGCCATAGAGCGTCTTGGTGTATCAAAGAAACCACGCCAAACCTTTTAAGGCTAAGAGGCAGCGCTTTCGGAGCAAGCCCCACTATGATGCAGAGCATCTACCAATTGGATGCCCCTAAAGTCGCTGATGAGGTATGATTCATAATGATCCATGAAGCCACTTCAACGCGACGCTGCATACAGCATAGCCAGTTTTAGCACCCGCAGTGCCATCGAAAACGAATTAGATCCATTGGTTGTGCATACCCCGAGCCTAGCGCATGTGCTACGCACAGTGACCGGTGAGACTCGAGCTCAATGAACGTAACTCGAGATGAAGTCTATTGCGGATGCTAGACATCTTTACAGGTATAGGCGAGCTTTAACCGTTCTTGAGGAACTCTGGTAACTTAGACTGGCTGACAAATGGTTGATTGGCGAGAGGTATTGCATCCACGGGGATGGATGCTTTCTATTGTTTAATAGATAAGCCTTTGGATCGACTTAGCTGAAAGAAGTACTATATTTAACGAATTGCTTAATTTAGTTACGCACTGGACGGGCTTAATGGTGTCAACATTGGACCTCAGTACGGTACAATGATTGAGGACCAAGACTGGAGACTAAACGCAAGTCTACAAGGTTGAAATGGTGCCTTGTATAGTGGTGAATCCCGGGAGATCCCTTGTGCTTTGCATGCTTTCATGAAGCGCGTGAAGGTAAATGCAATAACACAGAAATTGATCAGCTGAGAAGCAGTAACCAGCGAACTGAACCAGTTGAGGACCACAGCGACTGAGTCAGAGACCTGCAGGAAGGAAAGACCGCCGAAGCACAAAACCACCGCAACGGAATAGCAAGGGACGCCGGCCTTGTTGCACCTCGCCAAAAAGCGGGGCGCCTTGCCTTCAAGCGCCATACCGTACAGCGTACGCGTCGCGCAGTAGGTCGTGCTGTTTCTTGCACTGAAGGCAGAAGTCAAATTTAAGGCGTTCACAATGTGCGGCAGGATAGGAATGCCGAGGATGTCCATTGATTGAACATACGGAGACCCAGCCGCACCCCCCTTGCTGTTGGAGTATGCTTCTTGTAAATTAGAGTCGTTTGAGGGCACGACAATGCCGACAGCGAGAGACCCAAGAACGAAAAAGGCGGTTAGCCGCCAGAGGATAGACTTATATGTCCGAGGCAAAACTGCTCTGGGGTTCTCAGCTTCTCCTGCAGTCATTGAGACGTATTCTGGGCCAGCAATGACGAAAGCAGCTTGTATAAGACAATACAAAAGCCAAGAAAACGACCGAGGCTGCCCTCTCAATAGAGTTCTTTGGATGCGCCGGGGTCGTACCAGTAACGAAAACCGAAGGCATCTTATCGCGGGTTTCCGCCAACCATGACAATGAATGCGTAGGATATTAAGCCCACAATTAGGATAACTTTTCCAATGGAAAGTCAAAACTCAGCTTTGCCAAAGAACTTGACAGCGACGAAATTGAGGATGGTGTAGAGTGACAGAAAGGCGAGGCAAACAGCCCAAATAGGGATAGCCTCTGTCCAGTAGCGTATGACAACGTTGCAAACAGTGATTTCGGATGGTATTTCGTTGATATGTTAGTTACAACGAAGAAACATCCGATGTCGAAACGACGAATACCGCGAATACATGATGGGGGAGAGAGTGCTTACACAATGACGTTTGGAACAGAAAGAAATTATATCCAGCTGCAACTCCAAAAGACTCGTCGACAAATCGGCCTGCAAATCGGATGAAAGGCGAAGAAACAGGCAAAAAGTCGCCATTTCAGACATGCATAGGGAAATGGAAAGCACCACAGGACACCTTCACGAACCAATGTCAATGTTATCGTATTCAAACTGGAGAAAATAGAAGGAACACTTACCATATCATGTATGCAATGAAAAGACTGCCTGGCCCGCCACTTAATAATCCCTTACCGTTGTTGACGAATAAACTAATTCCATGAATTTTGTCAGTGACAAACCCCTTTCTAATCAAAAGAGGAGGTGGAAGTTTCCGTCCGCTCTACCGATAGTACCTGCAACACCTATTAATTGAATGTGCCGAGGCTTCAATCTTCGGCGGGTGTGGTCAGAGGAGTCGACATGGCCGCTCTGAACCTCGCCATTCCCCAAGTCGACTGCTGAGCCTTGTTTGGCTGGCACCTTGTCCATAATTGCCTTGACTTGAAGACAGGATTGACGATACACCGGTAAATTGACGTGCTTAACATGCAGTTGGCAATGAAAAGGCTATGTAGTAAGCCAATTGGGCAAACCAGCGAGAGCGAAAGGAAAGAGCTGCGATGATAGAGGTTTGAGCAGAGGTTTGACCATCTATATTTGTTCTTTTGCAAGCCTTCCTACGAAGTCAAACATTCCAATCATTTTGCTCAGATACACTGTTATATCGCGTCGATGCTATTCGTAGGATAGTTTCTTATCTATCCAAGGTATCCTAGACAGTCTGAGGTCCCTTGCTCGTGCTACGATAAGTGGGTTTCAATTCACTACGATAAAACACCTTCGTCAATAATTCAGTGATTAACTTTTCTCTATCATAATACAATCTACCGAATGGACGTCCTAATCATCAGCTCCGCAATCTTTGACATGGCCGAGATAGCTGTTCAATCGGGATAGCCTGTCCGCCCGAAGCCCAAAGTCCCATCAAGACCAGGAGCTTAGACGGGCGGCTCTGACGGGCATTTTCTGATTGGTTAACTACTTCGTTAAATTCGACCTTTGGCGATAAGACAATTCTGATAACTGGGTCCCCATAGTGGCACATGGACAATAACCAACTGGTGAGAATGGTGCTAGATTCCACAAACCCCAAGGGCTAAAATCGATATCTAGGATCAGTACACAAAGGAGACGAAACATTTGATGACGGATGTTCTGCCTATTGATCGCTCAAGTCTATCTGATAATTGCTGGTTTTATTTGTATTTCAGTTCATTACTTACACTCGAATAGTTCCAGACTGAAGCATTGTGCCGCATATGAACACCATCGTTTTCATTAATACATGTCGTCTGAACACGCCCAAGCTTCAAGAAATACATCGATAACACCCTTACCGACATCATCATGGCCCTCGATGATTTGTTCTAAAAAATTCCAGCATCTTCCACCACTCATTTTCGAAAGGGCCTTTACGCGTTGTGTCTGCAGTTGGCACAATCTTGACACTTTGACGGCAGAACTATTATCGACGCCGCAAAAGGCCCCGATGTTGCATGTCTCGGCCATGGCGTGCCCGAGGTGAACAAAGCCGCCACCCAGCAGCTTAGCAATGTCGGCCACCTCTTCTCGGGCGACGGTTTTTGCGAGAATACCACGGAAGAGCTGGCCGTGCACATTCTCGATGGCCATCCGGGCGGCCTGAGCAAGGCCATCTTCCTTGGCTCCGGCAGCGAGGCAACTGAATCCATGATCAAGCTGGTGACGCAGAACTGGGCCGCCAAAAGGGAGCCGCGCCGCATCAACTTCATTGCCCGCGAGCAGAGCTACCACGGCAACACGCTCGGCGCGCTTAGCATCACTGGCTATGAGGGACGCCTTAAAACTTACCAACACTAGATGTCCAAGAATGTGTCATTTGTTGATGCTTGCTGCGTGTATCGTGGGAAGTTCGATGGAGAGTCGGATAAAACCTACCTGAAGCGGTTAGTTAACCAGATCGAAGCCGAGTTTCAGCGTCTTGGTCCGGACACGGTCGCCGCATTCGTCGCTGAGACGGTGGCAGGTTCGACGCTGGCTTCGGTTCCCGCAGTCGAGGGCTATTTTCAAGCTGTGCGAGAGATCTGCGATAAGTACGGCGCTCTGTTGGTTCTCGACGAAGTCCTCTGCGGCATGGGCAGAACCGGAACCCTTCACCCATGGCAGCAGGAGGGGATTCAAGGTCCTGACATACAAATGATCGGGAAATCTCTCGGAGGTGGTTTCATCCCCGTCTCCGGGGTTCTCGTTCACCAGCACATCTTTGACACCATCGCAACGCCGCAGGGAGCTCTGGCAGGAGGGCACACCTTCCAAGCTCATCCAACTGCCTGCTCCGCGGCTCTAGCCGTGCGGAGAATCATTCAGGACCGAGACCTTCTATCCAATGTCCGGCTGCAGGGCCAGCTCTTAGGCCAGCTCCTGCACGAAGAGCTCGGTCAACACCCACTTACGGGTAACATTCGAGGTCGCGGACAGCTTTGGGCCATAGAGTTCATGCGAAATCCGGCCACGCGCACACCCGTCTCCGAGGACGATAACTTCTCTTACCGGGTCGTTGACGAGGCTGTTGAATCACAGTGTGTTCTTGTACTGAAAAACATGGGCTTCCCAGGGACATGGAAGATTGACTCCGTTGCGATAACCCCACCATTTATTGTGACGGAGATGGATATCCGAGAAGTTGTCCAGAGGTTACGAAAAGCAGTTGAAGAGGTTGATAAGCCGTACTTGCAGTCTGATGGAACTTTGATTCGTCCATGATGGGAATTATGTACGGAGTTAAATCCCAATTTGAAGATAATGCCACAGTATCACTTTGATATCGGGTGTTTCTCCATGTGAGCATTTACGATTAATAAAGGATTCATGGGTAGTATTTCAAACTAGATCTACTGTTTCAGCTCAACACTCGATATAACTTACTAAAATCCAAATAAGACGAACGAAATGAACGAACCAAAACAATATCCAAAAATGCAATCTAAACTTAGATTTCTTTGCTGCTTCCTCATGTAAATCAATCATTAACTGATAGGGAGTTAAATCGATTAAACCTTTTCCAGAACCTCCTACACTCATGACCGAGTTCTCTGCCTTCTCGCTGAGACGCCTTGCTGCTTTCAAATGAATTCCAGACCAGTCGATCCATTGAGTGTCCCACGCACCCTCGAACAGGGTAAATTACGCGTATCATTGCTCCATTCTCGAGAGGATACTCAATAACTCTCCTGTCTTTCGTGTCCAAAAGCAAAATCAGGTGGCATTGGCCATCGGCAACGGGTCTCTTAACATCGGCGCCGTGATGTGCCAATAGTTTGACAACTGCTTCTCCACCATCATCATAAGGTTCTAAAAGGGGCGAGTTCCTCTTCTCAAAAAGGTTCTCCACCTTTAACTCCATAAATATCGGTAAAGGTGCTTGAAGATGGCCCTTTGTCCTGGGGCGAACCTGCCATCAATGTCATGTTCCTCATTTTTCCTAAAATCTTGGCGCGTATTACTAGGGGTTGGTCGGTGAGGCGATCGTTGCCCACAAATGACCTTTCCGTACTGCTAAAGATCATCGACACATTGTTCCCAGCTCAGCCGGCTGTAGTAGTTATCAGGGTCCGCCGCCTCTCTTCAGCAACATTTTGACAATTTTCAGTCCTTCAAGCAAAACCGCTCTTTTGAAGGAGACTAGAACCCTGATCTCTTACCGGTGTCAGCTCCATAAACGAGCAAAATCTTGTTGATAGACTTTTGGCAAGAAGCAACAGCGCTATGCAGCGGAGTCTCGAGACTTGCACCAGGTCCATCGACGTCTGCACCGTATATTAGCAGAAGCATGTTTACACTATCGTTGCCAAACCGAACGGAGCGAAGCACCGCGAGCTCTCTCGGTGGACTTATTTACATCCTCTCCGCTATCTGAAAGCTTGATGACAAGACTTCTGCCAGCGAGAGTAGTGGTGATGTAATAGCTTGTGATAGTGTCGGTCCAGAGAAATGATTCCGTGAGCTTGCATTTGCGTCCTCTTCTGATAAAGATCAACAATACGGTTCGTCGACGAGGCAAATGCGTGCTGAAGTGGTATATCTAAAGAGCTACCGAACGATCTGGTCACATCTGCCCCCAGCAGAAGTAGGAGCTTGAAAATGGCCCCATTTCGAGACAATATTGCGCTTGATAGCTGCATCTTGTTTGTAAGGGTTCCTTTAGCATCAAAATATACACTGTGAACTAGTAAAAGCACAGCTGTAGATTACTCCCAAGCAGGGACAGCTCGTAGTGATAATGTCTTGTTGAAGTGACCGCTTCTACGTCAAGATTCACCTTCATCTCTTCGCCAATTTCAAGAAGCAAATTAATTCCAACCTTTGTCTCAGGCTGATGGCATCGAAAAGCCAGAAAACCACGTCTTTACATGTTTGATCGGCACTCATGCTGGAATAATGATAAGACCTTTCAACTAGGTCGTATTGGTTAATCGTAGCGCATCCAGTGGCGTCGGGTTTAATCGACCTGCGGACAGATATAGAGATGTCACAGCTATGATCTGCCAAAAGTCCCATGATTGTCTGGTACCCATTCCTAATGGCCCGTCTCAAGATGGTCTCTCTGTTATCGAGCGTGACGTTCATGTTCGACTTTTCTGATTCGAAAAGAACTCTGAAAGACGGTTTATGTCTCTGTCGATGGCCAGCTGTGCCGGTGCGAGGCTACTTTTAACACTGCGAGCATTCGCATCAAAATCCTTTGTGAGATATAGTAGCTTGACAGCAATCGAGTTTTGGCACTGATGCAGCCTACAATAGTGCCCATCTTTCAAGATGATCTCTCATGTTGGTATCGATTCCTGGCTTTTCAAGAAGGGATATAATGGTTGTGATGTGACTCATAATCGCAGTGTAAAGTATTTGTGTTCAGTCATGGTGATGCGTTTACCTCACCGCCGTCTTTAACTCAACAAACTCACCAGGTATTTAAAGGCAGCTAGATGAAGCCAAGGTGGTGACAGACTAATAAAAATAGCCAAGCCAAAAGCTTCATAACATGATCGACATAGCCTCCTAGCTGCCACTAGATGCGACTTATGACATCTTCGTAAGTGAAATTATATATAAGCGTCTTGGATCCAACTGAAAGTGTCAGAGGATGCTGGGATCATAGAGAGGAAGTCAAAAATAGGGCCACTTGATGGATGGATTGGGGTATGTGCTTAATACCATTTAATTCTGGCTTGCCCACACATAGCCCGAGACAAGAGCTTACATCCTCATCTGCCTCAACCAATCAGGAGTCCACCGGTATATGCCCTTGGGTCCCTGGCCGATTACCTCGAAGTATTGCCTGTTCTTGTAACGAGCAAGCCAGCAACCTTTTTCAGATTACAGCTTTTGGTATTGCGGAGTAGCTTCGAATTTTCTGTGACAAAATTTAGCAAATCATACATTTGGACATTTATCTAAACGTGTGTGTTCTACAGGACCGCTCTGATCTCGATTCTTGTAGACTGAACGCCTCTAAAACGGTTCTCAATTTGAGAAGAGATATCCGGATCCAACGATAACATTGAAATTAAGCTACAAGACTAGTACCATATAAGTTTCTGGAGCTAGTTAAAGATACTGGATCAGCACCTGCATTATTTTGAATTCCTTGAGAGTAATTAGACGACGATCGCACTTAAAGAAGATGAACTATTAATAGGTATAGCCGCAGCCAGTTGACACCGAGATGCAAACACCACTAATGGAGGAGCCCTCGGGTTTTATGGTGCAGTCTTTGCCATCACAGTTTCTGTCATCGCTGCACGGAGTAGATACTTAAGGAAAAACATGAACTGCAGCGAGAATAGTGGCAAAGATGATAGGGAGTCTCATGGCCATGATCTGTGAAGGGCCGGTGAGAGAAAGACTAATGGCAGTACTTTAGTTTATAAACAAGAGGATCACAATGACATCTTACAAGGATGTTGAACAGCCAGGACACATATATTCATCTTCTTGCTCTCATCGATATTTTCTTACATGTATTGCACTTATTAATCAAGTGAAACCTTAATAGAGATTCTGAATCGGTTACGAATGTATTGTTACATCATAACAGTTACTTTCATTTGGTTTCAAGAAGTATTTCATGACTCATTTACTCAAGACTGGAGGTATTGTCAAGCTGACTACAGGTGTGGATCAAGCGAGGAAAGATTCAGAGGGATATCAAGGGTACACGAACACATCATCAAACAATAAGAGCTATTGTATGTTTCCGGTAACTAACTTACGCAAATCAAATGCTTACTTGAAGGCACGGCGACATTACACGCTATCCAATGGGTTGCTGCTGTACTTCCATACTTTAGGTTCCCTTTCAAATACAATCCATTCGGTAAGGGAATCTTCAAAGGCCACTCTGATCACAACATGTTGTCATTTCAAGGCACGCCTGATTACGTGATATCATGCCCACGGTACATGGAACAACATGTTTGATATTTAAATAAGTTTTCAGGCATACCAAAGAACATAGGCAATGCCACCAATACCTTTTATCACACAGATAACTATCTTTTACCCAGGCTTTCTATGGTTGACTGAGCCAGACATGACGCCTGGCTTGTCGAACCCCGGCTGTTTGCATTCAGTATAACTTGTGCTGATTGCATGCAGGAGCGTACCCACATTGAAAAACCTGCCAATCTTTAAACAGTTACACGGTAATGATAACTAAGACCTTGTAGGGTGTTGTTATCTTAAGACAGAAAAATATCGTCTCAACGTTCCTCGTGTTCAGTTTAACGTCCACAGTCAACCGGAGCAATCATAAGGTAGACATACAAGGGTTTTTTTGTTCTTTAAGTTCACCCTTCCTACAACAGTATCAGCTAAGCTTGTATAAAACACAATTATTGAGTATTGTTGATCAGGCTATTTACCACGCCATGTGGCTCTTAGTTCATGACCTATAGTAAACATGATATTCTTCACCCCGATATGTGAACTGTCCGTCCTCCATAACCTTGATCTTGAAATCAAAAGAGGCTTGATACGGCGATAAGTTCTGCTTGACAATACCTACCATCTGGCCCATCAATAGCCATCAACAATGTAGACATTAGGCCTAATCAAGTATACGAAGACTTCGGTATAGAAAGTCTAAACAACTCGCGCAACATTGTTTATATACCGCTAGGATACAATATGAACCCTACTCTTAGTGTGGTTTCCATTAAGTATATTATGTGAGTGTCATATAACTGACTCTTGCACCGACTGCTGTAAATTAAGATGCACTATTTCTAAGTCTGAGATTCGGATGCATCGGGAAGATAATCTATTGAGCAAAGACAGTCTCTGAAACGAGTCTAGGAATCAGGACAATATGTAACAAGCGCTGATTTGAATCTGCCAGCAGGAAAATTTCAATCAATTGAGTAGTAGTTATAGCATAGCTAGGATGAGGGTAACATCTACTACATCACCCTTTTAAATATTCCTCACGACCATACCACGCTTAGGACAGGCATGATGAAATCCCATGGTGCATTGATTGGCTTTTCTTAGGGTTAGGGTCATTAGGGATATGCAAATTTCTGTCACCAGCATTATCCGGCCTAGTACTGAGATGACAACTGTCAAATTACAACCAGATTGAATTTAGACTCTGGGACAAGTTGATATTGCATAAATCTGTTGCATTTTGTTCCATATTCTAGAAGACAAGTAGATCTACTTACGGCTGTGTGTCAAGTTTGCTGAGAGTCCTTCCTAGAACGCGAGTATGTATTGCTAACAGAGGAGGAATAGGCCGCCCATGCTTGGCCAAATCTTAGATATGACACTGAGGCTGCAAACTCTCGCGCTTGCGTTCCGCATATGTCTAAAAGACATCAGTCTAGCTGTTCCTTTGTAGAATCACACCCGCAATAATAGCGAAATAGCCATTTTTATGAATCCTAGGTCTCCCTCCGCTACTTAATTAAGCTTCCACGACGCAGAGCTACTCTACATCATCTACTGAAATGCGCCATATGACGACTACCGTGTTTCTATTTTGTTCTCTTTGCATTGCAAAGAAAGGAGTATGTTACAGTAGGAAGATTCGTGCAAGGCCACTTCTATGTCGGTTTTGACGTAGACTATTGGTTCTGCTTGTGCACCTTAAACGTTCCGAATTTACATTAGCCAGAGAATACACTCTGGTAGCCTGACCAGCTACAAGTTGTAGAGTCTGTCTCCGGATAAATAACACAACTGGTTAGACGTTTGCCGTTTAAAAGTGGCTCCGCGTCGTAATAGTAGGCGTTTGACAAAGACACAGCCTTGCCGCTTTCGGTAACAGCTTTGATATTCGTAAAGGTCAAGTCCTGGAAATCAGGATATAGATTCTGAGGAGTATCTTTCGACATAGCAGTCTCAATAACCCACTCGGCAGTATTGGTGCATAGTGTGCCATTTGTAGGTGCACTTAGGCTCTTTACAAATCTAGAAGCCTGCTGTTAGAACTGGCCTCGGACTTGACCTTATAGAATCACAACGAAGTGCTAATAGAGTGCTACTGCTTGTTTCTTAACGGGAGGGACCTCGTAGTACTTACTTTTTGCCTTGCGTTAAATTCTCCCAAGTATACGTGCCTGTGATATTGTTCTTCTGCGTAATTGTCATTCGCACATGGTCGCCAATGTTTGTTAAGATATTCTGTGTGTCATCTAGGAACACTGGCCCATCGGGAAACCATTCGTAGAAAGCGAAGACACCAAAGTCTCCTTGCGGGTCATAAAGATAGTAGTAACCTCCCTGTAACAGGCCAGTTGGGCCTGATACGTCGCAGAAGTCGTCATATCCAGAGATACCCACCCAAACGGACGAGGTATATGTCGACTTGGAATCATACCCATATGGGAAAGTGATATTTGGAATAATCACCTCCGCAGTAACCGACTGATAACGATCGTTTGTCAAGACGCCACCAGACCAGTTTCTGCTGCGCGAGCGATTGTTCTTTCGGCTTTGAAGTATCTGGGGTTTATCGTGTGAAGCGTCTCGCCGCGTCATGGCCCGCCGATGGACCTCCTTAGCCATGGAAACATCTGATATGGCGATAGTAGAGACTCCTGCTCCAAGGAGAAGAAGTGTTGAAGAAGGTTTCATTGGAAGTAACGTAGACAGTGACTAGTATGTAGATAGCTAGAGGTGATTGATTGCTATACATAGCTGTACACGGGCTGACTTTTATATGTCGTTTACTAGCGTCAGCTAGGGTTCTCTGACTGGCTCATGTATCAAGGTTTGCCGCGAAGTTCGTATTGACATAGCAATTTACGATTAAAATGGAGCAACAAGAAGTCTATTTGCCGACTTGCCGTCTGATTCCAATGCATCACAAGAGTAGAACCAATCACGTCGCAGCACAGTATTAAGACCGAACATTGTCAGATTAAACATGCACATTAAGGGAATCTATCTAGAGCTGAGCCACGAGCTTTATTGCAGCCGCAGGGCGTCGTGGGGGCTGAAGTGCGGCGGGGCAGTCAAGTTCTTCTCGGGTGCGTGCTTATGAATTCTAACTTTGCTTAACCGTCCACTCTTAGATGTCCCTCTTAACTCGGATAGGTTCAACCTCTTTATTCAATGATACGTACTATAGTCGAAAAGCATTAGGAACTCAAATCCCTGGGAAAGGCATGCAGTACTTAAGGTTCGACGCGAAAACACATGAAAACACATTCATAGTGTGGCCATTTGCTAGCAATAATTAGAGTGAATGTGGGATGAGTTGATATCTTTGCGAATACAGGGTAAGGTTCAGTCATTCACGTTCCTTATTAATCCGTGCCTTTCCATGCTCTGAGATTCTATTGCCCTTTGTCGTCTGGCGGTTGTAAGCATCTGAAATATATACATGGTAGTTCGGCTTTCCTCGAATAAGTGTTGGTACTGCCATCTCATGAGCAAAAAAAAGTAAGACAGCCTCACTGCTGCAGTACCTCCAGTCGAGGCTGTACTATACGTGTTAGCAAAAAAGCGCGAACGTAAATGGCACACTTCAAGCAGCGGGATAAAAGCCAGGGCCAACAAAGATGCTGTAGCCAGGCTTCGCCGCAACAAGTCACCGAAGCTGCATTGCACACAAGACAGCAGGGATCAATCGCCCCGCATGCTACGTTCGCTGTTTGGCAGCCAATTGCTGGCAAGAGCCAAGTTCGTCTCCTGCTTCCAACGAGTCCAGCCACGGCATCCCACAAACAGGTCGCCTGGTTAACCTAGACTTGGTTCATCTGGAGCCAAATGCGCCAATTTGCCCATTCGGTGAACCCAGGTTTGATGTTTGACGTCTTGCCCGCCCACGGCGCTTCAAACTGTTTTTGGCTAAGGCGCCAGAATATCATTCGCACCAAGGGAAGTCGGTCGTCTCGCTTCTTGTACTACGCTTTTTCCGCTAATTTGTGGTTTCCCGCCAGCGAAGCCTCCATAGCGGGGTAACATTCCGCAGCGCGCGGGCGCGTTCGGCTGCAAGAATTGTTCCGCGGTTCTCGTCAAAATTTAAAAGGAGTCAAGATTCAACAGACGTCAACGGATCCCTGTGCAATATTTCTGAAAGATCATCGGCCACTGCGTATCAGCTAGCACGTGCCTCATGTTGGTGCTCTTGAGTCACGACGCCATTTGACATCACTGGCTAACAAACCGAGTCACTCTCCGCATGCCTCTAGTATCACCCGAAGCTCAACTACAGTGCCATGTCAATTATCTGAAAACGCTAAACAAAGTACCACCAAAACAGCACCAAAACAGCAATGTTTCAACAATCAGTATCTTAGCATAAGTATTTAGTAAAATTATTCTAAGAAATTTTATAAGTACCTTAGGTAAAACAATATAGTATACGCTTTATTTGTTTAGTTTTGCTGCTTTGTTTCGCTAATGGCCAGTTCTAGTAAGTAGTAGATGCTCCTAAGCTGAGATTATAGTGGGCTATAGTGGACAATGCAGCGGCGTTGAGGGTCAAGGTGGTGCACAAAAAAGGGGTTTCGGACTTTTGACATGGCACTGTACTGCACCGCTTTTCGGCCCAATGCTTGGCCATCTAAGCGGATTTGACCTCACTTCAGCAGGTTGATCGCATTCTCTCAACAAGTGTTATGAAGCGTGAGTGAACGATTCTGCTTTATTCAATGCGGCTATTAATTATCAAATTTCAAGACACAGAAAGACACTAGATTCGTTGGGAGAACAAAGCAGAATACTGTATTGAATGTGCTGACAAGTCCTTGCCAATCCCCTTTCGCTAATCGACAACCGTGCGCTTAGCAGCCCGCGTCGGCAAGAAGAGTAACACAAGCAGTCCAAAACCTCCGCAGTTGTACCTGATGCAATTCGGGCTGCGTTCAAAAGGTGCCGGTTGTCCAAAAACCACTCACGTTTTTTAATGAGGGGGGGGAAACTGCATGAAGTCGAAGTTTCTTTGCTGGTGGAGGCCGATGCTCAATGAAGTTTAAAGCTGAAGTGCAAACGTCTTAAATACTGGAAAGGTGTACCTCCGCTCAGGTGGTACCAGCGGCCGTGATAGCTGGCTGATTAAGCCCTGACCAGCGTGAGGCCGTAGGTCGAAAGAATCTCATTGACGGGCTGGAAGTAGGTTGTGCCGCCGGAACGGCAGTTGCCAGAGCCTCCCGAGGTGACACCCTGGGCCTGGGCGCCGGAGTAGAAGGAGCCGCCGGAGTCACCGGGCTCGGCGCAAACACTGGTTCGGGTGAGGCCCGTGACACGTCCTTCGGCGTAGTTGACCGTTGCGCTGAGGGCGCCAACTGTGCCGCAGTAGACACCGGTAGTAGAACCAGAGCGGCAGATGCTGGCTCCGACGGCGGCCGCGGTGCTGCCAGACACAGGCAGGTTACCCCGGCCGTAGCCGTCGATGTAGCCAGTGAGGGTGGTTCCACTGACAGTGCGGACGTAGCTCATGTCGGCGCTGCCTGGGAAGACCGAACCGGAGAAGGTTCCCAGCGACGCACCGCTGCTAGTGGTGGCAGTGTTACCAACGGTACCACAGTGGCCAGCAGAAACGAAGCCTGTTGTGACCGCGAACCCGATAGAGCATCGAGCAGCTCGGTTAATGAGGTAGGCGTCGCCTCCGTAGACTGTGGCGAAGGTTGATGGCATTGACTCAACGGTTCGCACCTCGAACTCAGACGCGGTGAGGCCGACCTTCGCGGCAAGCTCCTCGGCATGAGCGGTGCTGCCGGCGAGTGCCTCTAGAACAAGCTTGTTAGCTGCAATGTCGACGTAGTACGATGCGATGCCCGAGTCGGCCGAGCTCGTGTCGCGGGCCTCGGGTTGCTCGATATCCAGGTTGTCGAGTGCCTGCTTGGCCTGCTCAAGCTTTGAGAAGCTGTTGGCCACAATCGCCGGCGTGGCGCCAGCAGCGGTCACATCGGCGGCCAAGGCTTCGTCAGTGACGCCGACATTGAGCGTGGTGCCGTCCTCGGAGATCCAAGCGCCGGCGAACGAGTCACCCGCCGATGTGCGCAGCTGCTCAATGACATCGGTGGCCTGGTGCTCGAAGGCGACACGAGCAGTGGCCTCTTCGGCCTCCAGTCCCAAATCACGCTTCATGGCGGCCAGGATTTTGGGATGGAGGCTGGTTGCGGCCTGTGTGGGGGCACCGTAGGCAACGGGCAGGACAACTGCCAGGAGGGCGAGGAACCTAGTGAGCTCCATATTGAACTTTCTGAATACAATACGTGAGAGAAAGCGCTCGTAATGTTGTGAGAGGTAGAGAGTAGGTCAGATGAGTCTAGGATGCTGCTATAAAATGCAAGACTGGATGAGAATATGTACACTCCTTTATACTTAACCCGGCCTCTAACATCGTGATTATCATCACGCTCCTGTTGTCGCTATCCAAAGTAGAAATCGACAATGCACCAGTTGTCGCCAAATGCCTCCTTCCCAATATGTTCTAACTCGCCTGGTGATGTTACTGCAGGTTTCCATGGTATCAGCAGGGCCTTCCTCAAAAGGCACTTCAAAAGACACTCGCCGTGTGAGGTTGCAGTAGTATTATTCGGGCAATCCTTAATAGGCACCTTCGAAGACTGCCTACCCCGCGATGCGATGGCACATAGCTAAGTAGGAAGGAGTAAAATAAAGAGATATAGATCAGATAGGAGCCTTTCCTAGATAAGGTGCTTAGACTCCCGGCCGACATGGCCTAATCGATAACTCACGCTTTTCGCACTCCTTTGTGGTTGGCGATACCATGTATGCTAAGTCAGGCCCACAGCATCGGAACGGGCCGGCTGTATCTTGAATTGTGGCAAGCTAACGGTAACATGCTTGCCACTGTCGTTTCCCCACCATATACCGGGCAATCAACGCTTTCGGCCCACCCACAGAGTTCAAAGTATTAGCAGCCGACACTTGTAGTAAATATTGTGTAGACTTTAGCTAACAGTTATGTAAGTTTCTAGCTTTACAGAGAAAGTAAACCTGGCAAGCGTCTGATTGTCGGCAATGATCCTTTGCAATAATGCGTACTTTGTGAACAGCCGGCAGTGGCATGCATGGCTGTTTTACTAGGCCAGGCGCTGGGAAACGGAGAGGAACTAGACTAAACTGATGCAAAGATACACAACGCCGAACGGCCAAGCGGATGTGATTCAATATGCTCGCTCGGCTCTCTTTTCTGGAAGGTAGCATGATTGTTGACAGGCTGAGCGTATTAGGAAGGCAACTTCGTCGATAGGTCAATCGTATTAGGAAGGCAGAGTCAGGCAGTGGAAATATCGAAGTGCAAGCCCCATGTAGAAGGTCGAGAAACGGTGGGAGTATTGACAAAGGGCGCTCTCGGTATTTGATTTCTCCACCTCTTATCCGATCGTGACGCCATCTTTGCCAAGGCGCGGAGAATGCTAATCAGTAAATAGTAAGCTACACTAAATTCCTTCTAAAGCCAGTCAAAGACCTCGTTTACTAGGATTTCGGTGCAAAGGCGGGCCCATTTTTCTTGGCATTAACGTGCACTCAATGGGATAGGTTGGCTGGGGCAGTCAACCTATCAAACACTGTAACCCTTTTATCTCTTGGCAGCCGGCGGGCAAATTGCTTGATGGGAGCCACCGTTCTGGCCAGGCGATCAGTGCCCCAAAGCTTGCATCTTGAGGGCTAGCAATAAAGCAGGTTCTTAAGGATATTACCATGTTTAGTTCCTTAGGGTTCGAGGGCCTCCCGAAAGATGTCGAAGAGTGCATCGTCAGTTGTAACATGACATATTTCAAATTGTTTGGAAGCTTGAAATGTCAGGACATAATTTGGGTGAGTGACGACGGTCCATGCAAACTTTCAGTGCCGGCTGGATGTTGCGTATCTTGAGGGCTTCTGCAGCAGCCTAAAGTCCATTCAAGGCTGCGATTAAGACGATAACGTGCCTTGGGAGACGATGCGTGGAAAACCGACATTGAAACCTGCGCCAATCTCCATGACTGGCTCAACGATAATTGAAGAGAATTTTAGGCTGTTAATTGTCGACTCCATACAGCGCCTGCTAGACGATGTGCGGGAGGGACTGCCATAAAGGGATTCGCTCGGATAGCTTGTCCAAGTCGCTATTGCCAAAGGGAGATATAGCGTTATCAAGTACCTCGCATCCTGGGGTTCGTTGACTTGCGAATATTTACCATGGATGAGTGAAAGGAAATAACTTCACCGACTGCCGTGTCTTACTTCAAGGAATCAGACATGAAGGAGACGCCGACCGGCCAGACAGCGCTAGCTTCTCCTACTTCAGAACCCAAATGCTAGACCAGGCGATAATGCTAGCCCAAGTGTGGCGATAGCTGTTATAATTTTCCTTGGCCTATCGAACTTTAGGCATGCACTAATTACCTGTACAAAATGTCAGGTCGGCCCTGACTCCGCCCACGTCAAACGTAGATATTGTCAGCACCGCCATTGTCGCAGCCATCTCTGTTGCCGTTGGTCGGCTTTAAGGCGGCATTGTCTCGCTATTAGCTTGTGATGGATATGTTGCGCCTGAGGTATGTTCTCTTACCTAGGCTAGCTACCTATTGCTATTGGTGGATGCGTAGGGGTAGCAGCCCCCGCAACGAAAAGATTAGACTTAAATTGAAGCTTAATTTGTGACGACCCGTTAAGAGCCACCCAATCACCACAGCTGTACAAAGATAAAAAGGAGAGAGCAAGAAACCCATCACATGTGTCGATATCTTCGGGATCCCGCCCAATCACCAGATCTTTCGGTAATAAACTCCTAGCCCTTCCCTTGGCTCGGACCATCGCCCAAAGTTTGATGGTGGAGAGAAGACCAGGCCGACGATGAGGACAATCTTTACCCGGAGCTCCAGGATTCAGCTTCTCCAAGCATTTGAGAGGACAAGAAGCTGAAGGTAGGGATCATGAGGAGGCAAAACGGTGATATTGATAGCATGGCAAGCGATAGAGCTCAGATTTGCCGGCTCGTAGAGCATCAGGACGTCGATAGCGAAATTGAATGTTTGTGAGACTGTTTGGAAACCAAACCCGTGAGCCAGTCCGAGACAGCTATCCATGCTTACATCACTCACCCGCACACCGAATCGCCTTCAGATGCACTTCATGCTGCCTACGTGTAATTCATCTCATCACCTTCACAGAAGCCCAGGAGCTGTGGCTCTATCAATCAGTAGTTTGCATATCGCTCGGTGAAACTTCCACGAGAATTTGTTCCGTTAGTCCAGTGGAAAAAACATTAATTATATATATTATCACCTCTGACTGCTGGAAATTATGGTGCGCGACTTAAGACCAACAAATACACCTTCGGAAAGTCTGTGGACCATCCGATACCGGTCGAGACTTTGCAAAAAATATGATCATGTTTGCTCGACAGTCAACAGAGTCCCGCACATCGCAGTCGGCAGCTTCCGGTCGGTCATTAGACCAGACGTCAATCAGCGTGACAAGTGAGAAGCCAACTGAAGAGGAGGTACGTTTGAGGCCATGGAAGTACATTAGATACTGGGGATACTCTAAGTCCATTTTATCAGAAGACGACTTTTTCTTGCTACGCCGATTCAATGTTCTAAGCGTATGCGTGGCACTAGCGCTCCAGGATGAAATATCTCAGCTTGAGCAGGAAATTGAAAACTTCGACGACATGACGAGCGAAGTCATTGGACCAAATTTCCATACGGAAGCTTCAGAAGGGACTTAAGGGACCGCTCACAGCTGGTAAAAGAAATTTCGAAAAAGTTAAGGTATTATAGTACACGAATTATGCTCTGAAATTAGCGCATACTGACAAGCAGCAAGTAAGTTTCTTATTCAGCAAACGACGCTCAAGAAATACCCAAGGACACCAAATAGGGACAGAAGAATCTCATCAATTGGCATCACAATCACGATCTTGCGGCAATTGACATGGAGGAGCAGAAATACCTGGATGAGAAAGACCTCGTATCTGTGGCATATAAAGGAACGACGCCTTTAAGGGAACTTATTGACAGCTCCCTTTATCTTCGGACACTCCTAATTTGGAGAGACAAACAAGTAGGTGCTCCTGATCACGATGCTTAGGAAGTTTCATGTTATTAAGACAAAAGGATAACCGCCCTTGCTTCAGCTATGATCATTGCCATTGGCGTGACAATGCTCATCATCCCAATATGGATCTTACAAAGTATGGAATATCTCAAAAACAAACTTGCAGTGATCACAGGGTTCATTGGACCTGCTTCTTCTTCTTGATGAGCTGACGTATTACCAGATAGGCAAATATGCCGCCGACGGAAAAACCGCCAATGATGTAAGGCTATGCGGCTGCACGGAACTGACAGTACACGCGTAGATGGATGTGATTTGCTTCATGCTGTCCGTGAATTAAGATGCCCGGCCTAACAAAGGCGCTTCGAAGGCCGCGAAATGTTGGTTTGTGAGATGTTTCTGAGAGACGGAGGTAGACAGTAAGCGAGCGAGATCTGTCCATGGTGAGAAACAGACACTGTGTTGACTCTGTGAGTGGCCTTGTAAGAGGACGACAATGCTGTGGTAACTCGGCCGCCCCACTTACCGCACAACCCAGTGTCCCGCGCATCCCGAAATTCCCGCATCACCACCAACAACATTCATTTCTAACCACCACAACATTTACTATTTTACTCCAAACAACATCATCTCTTCAGGATATTCTATCTATTATACAATAAAGCAGTATACCAAGTCTAAGACCTAACTCGCCCTTTAAGCTATTGAAGATGGGTATGGGATCTGGTAGGCTAGCCGTGAATAGGGGTTTTGTCAAAGGGCAATAGGACATCCCACCTACAGGCACTGTGGCGCAGTGTGGCACATCCACGAGGGACAGCCACAGGGTCGTAAAGTTCAAGATACTGTCTCAGGGTGCGGGGCCCTTTTAACCGGCGGAAGGCTGGAGATTAGCAGGCTAAGATCCAGCTTCTGTTCAATACAAGACTTACGTTTTGCAATTGTATTATTCCTGACTACGGTCCTTTTACAGGGTTCCTGAGGCTACCTTATGAGATCGTCTTAATAGCACGCAGTCTAAAGACATTACCTTTACTAGGTTATAGTAGCTATTTAGAACTTAAAAAGACTTATTTACTAGATAAATAAGTACCTAGTTTACCTTAAGATTAGTGTTTACTTATTAGTAACTTAAAAGGCTAGCTAAACGTATATTAGGTAATAAGTAATAATTATTT